CTCAGCAGTGTCTCCAGTGATGTGCTGTCCACTGACCTTCAGTAACATTTGAAGATGCGGCGGCCCGCTTGTCAAGGACAGTGCACTTCTCTGGCTGATTATGATGCTTTGCCTTTCATTAATATGCCTCACCTCCAGATCTGCTATATGACATTTGCATGACATTAGCATATATCTTTGGCCCAGACGTTTGGCACTGCAGTGTGTGGAGCTTGTGGGAATGACACCTGTTAGACAGAGAGGTAGATGATCAGTGAAGGTTTGAGTGAAGGGGGTGGTTGAGGGTGGTTGAGGTTTGGATACACGGGAGTATAGACAGTTCTTGGGGCATATGGTAACAGGTTCAGCTGCATTAAGGGTTGGCTGTAGTTGAAGATACTCATTAAAAAAGTAAAATCTATTTGTAACCATGGAGTTCACTTTTTGGAATATTTTGAGTTTTGCTCCAATTTCTATGATCTCAGATCTCAGAGTCCTTACCAGAAAATGGAGGACAAGATTTGAATACAAGATTTAATGTAAATCTATAGTTGTTGAGATATTTCACTCAGGACCAAAGTAGGGTACCAACACTGACATTGCTATCTTCAGAACCACAGTGCCAGTGTGGCTAAAAATGCAGTCAAAACCTATGAAAAGTAATATTTTTAAGCCAAAGCAAAACAAATAAAACCTTACAAGTGCATGCATCCAAAAAGCCATAACAGAGGAAGGATTTTTGTTTTTTTGTCACCACACTGACAACTGTTTACTTGGAGCTGTGCTGATGATGTGTTTCCAATAGCCTGCTGAACTTCACAGCATTTTCAGGGGTCTCCCTGCAGGTAAGAAACCACAGTTTTCTCAAAATTTCAATCAAATGTGGCCTGGCTGACAAAATAAAACACCAGCACCAGAAAACTCTCACAAATCCCCCAAATCTTTGTTGTGAAGTCTTCTCTCAGTACTGTCATATAGAAGGACATCTGAAATAATGACTCATGGTATAAACAAATAGACAGCGTTCTGTTTAATTTTTATACCTCATTGTCTCTAATATCAAATTGCTTAACCTCAATCTACACAGCACAAGCTTTATCACATATAAGAAGAGGGATGGAATAAATTATCTCAAAAGTGACAAAAAAAAATGTCCTGCCCTGTATGTGTTATATTTTCAGGGTCTGAGTCATCATTTAACCACTCTATTCCTCCCGTTTGGTTTGAGTTGTTGGGGTAGCATATCCAAATCCAAATCCAACTTTATTTGTTAAGCATAGGTAATATGCGGGTAAAATCTGCGATTGTGTTCATTCCCATCTTTAAAGCTGTCAGGCTTTTGGTCAGTTCTGATGGTGCTTGGCCTGAAGATGCTGCAGCCAGGTGGTGACCCTGCATGCAGTACCTGGCACGCAGCAGAGTGCGTAGAGCTGCGGCCAAATCCCTGAGTCTGAGAGCTGCCCACACCGACCAATCTGCCACTAGAGAGAATGAGCAGTGGACACTGTCACTGATATAAATACTGTTGCAGGAATATAAAAAGGTATTTTTTAAATTTATTATGAGGTGTATAGAAACAGTTTAAATAGTAATATCACATCGTTCCAACACAACACAATTAATCCACTTGCTGTTTCCTTCATTCATTCAGTGATTTAACATTACTTTCAGATTCCAGTCCACAGTAGAAATATGTGTGAAGTAAGCTGGTATAAACATGCATACATTGTAAATTGGACAAATGTTAGTTGAGTATCAAGGCTGCTTCCCTAATCCAGCAAGTCTTTGCATTACTTCAATGTCCCTTGAAGACTGACAGTGTCCCTAATGGGATATGACTTCGGACAATCACTGTGGTCGAATGGATGCAGTCGTGAGAAGATTCGTGGTCTTCACAGTCTCTAAACTCTCAAGTGTGGTTTCAGACATATCAGGATACAGTGACCATAAGCAAGTACACACCTCCTTTCCCCTCAGGTATTCAGGTACTTTAGTATTCATCAGTTTATATAGAAAAATTATGCAATCTGAATAAACATTTAAAGGGCCAGTGTATAGGATTTAATGGCATCTAGTGGTGAGATTGCATATTGCAATCAACTGAAACTGCTCGCCTCAACAAAGTGTGTAGAAAAACTATGGTGAAAAATGTGAACGTTCCTATTTAGAGCCAGTGTTTGGTTAGATGCTTAAAATAAGGTCTATGGTTAATACAAGCTTAAGAAATGTTCATGTTTCGTTATAAGTACATATAATATGTCTGTAAATACCCCTCCTGTGAACACAGAAACTTTTACGTGTCTTAAAATAGTGTGTTGCTAACAAGTGGCTAAATTAGTTATCATCACGCCGAACAGTTTTCTGGTGATGTTGAGTCATAAATAAATAATCATTTATACATTCACATTATAATAAACCTTTTATTGCTATAGAGCTTATTTTCTACAGTAATCCCATTGGCTATTTATCGACGGAACAGGGCGATGCTAACTGTGACCATTCGTTACATAACCAATAGTCTGCACAAAAAAATCTAATATGAAATCGATATACTGCATCAGTAAAAACCTGTGAGGTACGACCTTTGCTACAAACAGATCTAAAGCGTTCAGACAATAAAGTGACTGTGACATGGATCAATGTTTCCAGCATCAAAAAGCTCTGATAAACTCACAGTACTCTATGTGCCCAGCACTAGACATCAGTACTCTATGTGCCCAGCACTAGACATCAGTACTCTATGTGCCCAGCACTAGACATTGGACTTATATTTCTCAGGCAGCCAAAACCACTACTATTATTTTGCTCTATGTTTGCAGCTGTTTTTCAACATGCATAACAACTTTTTATGGTGATAATCTCATAATAATATTAAAGATGGTCAGCTTGATATGGACTTTTCTGCCCCCAAGTGGCCAAGAAATAACCAATGCAGCTCTTAACATCAATAGAACAACAGCACCAGTATGAAGTGTGCTTTGCACCTGTAACCCCACCCAACAGTCATGCAACAATGTCCTGGAGGACATGTGGATCATTACAGTGAGACGTTAAACCACTGGAGGTCAGCAAAACCAAGATATTAATGTGGTGTTAAGTTACTCTTTAATATTCACTTTGATTATCTGAGCCTTCCATTAACCCCCCTTTCATCCCAGCTTTGTTGAGGAATAACTCTGGTTTATTGACAGCGATGTTTGATACATCACAACCCAGAAACCCATAATAAATGCCTCAAAATCCTGTTGCACAATATGTCTAAAAATCACCTCCAGCTGTGGGCTCCACCCTCTGAAAGCTGCTTTGTGATTTGCCACAGTTTCATGGGTTTGAATCCCCTTCATGACCTTTGTCAAATGTCATCCCCGCACTGTCTCTTCAACCTTATACCATGTATAATGGGAAAAGCCATAAAAATAATCTTTACTATCATTGCTAGTCAGAGAGGAGAATCACCACCTCATTACCACCCCTGTCTGAGGGGCTGATTATGGGATGGAAGGAGCTCGGCAACAGAGCTGAGCCTGGGGCGTCCTCGTGGCACAGTCTGTTATGGCTGCATGGGGTTGAATTGCAGCTCATTCTACACTGTTGCATCTCTCTCCCTTCACTTCTCTGCCACTTCTCTTCACTGTACCTGTCACCAAAAAAGGAAGAGGAAATTAAATACTCATAAAGCTGGATTGTCCTCTCTCCTTTCCCGTAAAAAATACCAAAAAGCTGGTTGAATCTATCAACGAGAGCAGTTGAATCTCACTCAATTATGCCCTGTTACGTCCCTGGATTCTTTTAATGATCCCACACAGACAAAGAACTGTGATCCCACAGTGAAACACCCTGTGATGAAATAGACCATTGTGTGTGTCCTAGCCCCAATATGCTAATCCAGGATTAATTATGGGCCAACCCTAATGAGTATCTCTCTCGCCCTCTTAGATATGTAAATGTACCAGCAGTGGACAGTGTTGAGAGGCTTTTGTTAACTCTGTGTTCTATATATATATATATAAAAAAAAGGCAGGACAGGACCGAAAGAGACAAGGACAAAGGTTTAGTGGCCTTAGATTATTTCAGATTATATCATTGCAAGGTCTACTCTCAATGGGTCAAGGGAGCAGACTTGATATCTGGAAATCAGTGTAAACATACAGTAAATGTGACTTGAGGGAATTTCACCTGTGGGACGAAAGACAGGAAGCTGCCAGGAGCAGAGATTATATTACAATGTTTAGACAAACTGTACAAGTTACATAAAACAACGACAAACTGACCCAGACCTATGTGATATTACTGTTGCTGAGCTGTTCGCCATCAGTGGATACCTGTCTCCCTGACAGCATGGGTGGTGAACTGTTTTTTTCAGCTTACTAATTAACAGGAAGTGTGAATATGGGCAGAACCAGGCAGACCAGAGGAAGTGTGCTATGGTGACACTCTTATCCTCTTTAGTTGAAAAGTGAGAGAGAGCGAGAGAGCGAGATAGCGAGAGAGAGAGAGAGAGAGAGAGAGAGAGAGAGAGAGAGAGAGAGAGATTTAAAAGATTTTTGTAATTTCCCAAAAAAAGAAGATGTTGTTTCAACAGTCCGATTCTTAAGCAGTTATAGAAGGGGACCTTAGGGACATATTACGCATATATAATGCCGTAAAGTAAAAGTACAAACGCATCATTGTTAACAAGTAAATGTGGATGCAAAATGTATTTAATCTTTATTTGATGCAAAATTTAATCAAAGGAGACATACCACCTATACAATCTAAGGCAACAACACGTACAGTAACAGACTCAATGTCTCGCTGACACAGTCAACAACAAACATTAAACATGCTGTATCCTCACAAAACTACAGGCTTTATTGCAGAGATGCAGATTGTACATCCATTGTATGAAATATTTTGTAAACTATCCTTTTGTTTGCCTTATATCTCAACCACAGTGTCAAAAAGTAGTAAGGATAATTAAGATAGGACTATTGTACAAGAAGTTGTCTAAAGAAGTAGAAAACAGGCAAATAATTATTTTAAATAATTAGACATTAATAACAAATTAAGTATTCAAGCAAGGGCAATCACAATCTATATATATTATCCGTCCTTAACCGTTTCATATGTTTTAAATTCAGAGAAAACACTCCTCTCAGAGGGGAGTGGTAGTGTTTCTGTGTGTGTGTGTGTGTGTGTGTGTGTGTGTGTGTGGGGTCGTCAGGGTCTGTAAAGCTCTTTATCTTCCTCGGGATTCTCCACATGTAGAAGCTGCGTCTCTCTCCTCCTCTGTGTTGTTCCTCGGAGTTTCTGTCCAAGGTGCTGAAATCTGCTGCTCCGCGGACAGGTCACGTGACTGCGCTTCCTCCCCCTGTGAGAGCAGGATGCTGCGCGCGCGCCAGCGGGCGCTTTTGTGCGCGTGTGTAGGCTACACACGGGGACACCTCAGTCCTCCTCATCATGAGCAGTTCGGGCTCATGAGGAAGGCTTTTCTAAGGCGACGTTGGGCTTTGCTGTAGTATTGTTCGCAGCGTGGAGTTCGTGCGGCTGAATGCGTAACTTTGACTCTTTACGTGCATAATTTTCTTCTTTTTTCTTTTCTTACGCCGTTGCAGACATTAGTGTGGCAACTGTGGATGGGCACACAGGAGTGGGCTGCTGCCCACCAAGTCTGACTGTGTTTCGGAGGTGCTGAGAAGAAGAACATGTAAGAATCCGCAGGCTTCCCCGCAGATTCCTCCCGGATTCACAGCCAAAATGCAGAAAGGGATGAGACTCAATGATGGCCACATCACCTATCTGGCTCTTTTGGCGAAGAAGGATGGGACGAGGCGAGGTTGCCTGAGTAAGAAAAGCTCAGACAACACAAAATGGCATTCAAAGTGGTTCGCTTTATTGCAGAATATGCTATTTTATTTCGAAAACGACTCCAGCTCACGCCCCTCCGGACTGTACCTGTTGGAGGGCTGCGTTTGTGACAGGGCACCGTCACCGAAACCGTCTCTGTCAGCGAAGGAATGCTTAGAGAAGCAGGTAAGATATTGATCACACGGGGAGCTCCCATAAGTCTCACTGACTGACACTGTCAAGGTAATCCGTCTCAGTGAGCGGACACACTCAGTGATGCTGCTTGTTGTGATTATCTTGATGGAAGAAACTTGCTGTTATCTGATGTGGCTCTCTGTTGCAGCGACATTCATGGGAGGAGGTGTTTTCGCAGCAAAATTGCGTCTTAACGACACAGTTGCTGTTTTTATCCCTATTTATCACGCAAACAATGTCCCAGAGATGTTCACTTGACGTTCAGTGTTACGTAATGGCGTCATCCTAACTGATTGATTGTCTCGATTCTGCACTAAAATAGCTTCGCAGCTTGCCTCAAACGTAACTCAACAAATGCACGAAATACAAACACACACAGTGGTTTGAACTCAACAGGATAGATGCGATTCTCGGTGCAAACTTTGCAGACACAGGAACTAGTTTACCTCCCTGCACTTCTTTCCTCGTTACACTCGTAATATGTGTTGCAGCGCCTTTGTTTTTATGTAAGAGGCTGTATTTTTAGACGTCTCAAAGGTTCAAGGATCGCAGCTCATATGTAGGGAGTAAACTTAAACAGCATCCAAACTTTGCAGGTTGCCATCTTGCGGAGGAGAGCTGCCCCCTTCCCTGTCGTTTTGACGTATTGATTTAATTCCTTGTCTTGATATTAATAGCATCCTACCTTGGCAACTGCGTCTCCCCGTTTCATAGCGGCTTGGTTCATTTGATAGCTCTCTCATTATCACGGGGTTGTTAACGACAGCCATGAATGAAAACCAAATATGTCCCAGGCATGCTTTTGTTTCTCAGTACATCCCCCATTCGTTTTAATTCCTCGGGCATTTAGTTTCATGGATTAACATGTTTGAGGGCTAAACAGTTTCCACTGTTTTTTTTTGGTTGTTTTTTTTTAATTTTATGCCAGTGTGACACAGTCACAAATAATCTCAGCGAAAGCATGGTTGCCTCTAGCGAAACAGTTAGGGGGGGTTATGGAGGCTGCTGCTGCAAGAAATAAACCTTGTGGCATAAAAGCATTTGAGAGGCAGAGAAGTGGTCAAGCTGCTGTGAGCTATGACTGCAGTCACCTTCTGAAATCTGCTCTGCCAGCTGCAGTCTCTTCTGCTTTCCCTGCAGCAGAGCTGATGAAGAACTGAAGTTAAAAAGTCAAAGTTTCATCTGTTGTTTTTTTCCCCACTAATCCCATTAACATGTTCAATTTGGCAGTTGCCATTGGATGAGAGCAATTTTATTTTACAGCCTTTTGAGTGTATGCTCGTTTTCACTGTAAATGGTGGAAAACCTTGGATTCATGTTCCACTTTTACTGTATACCAACATAACTGCACAACAAATGTAAGGCAACCAAGTGAAAACTAGTACACAGCATGGTTGCGTCATGGCATTGGAGTGTTTAGTCTTTTTTAAAATATATTTTTAAACATTTTATACATGAAAAACAAAGGTCCCTGCTCATACTGGAACCGAGGGCATTGGGATTCATGATCAGGACCTTAACCCCCTAACCCCAAGGCCCTTAGGGTGTTTTTTAGATCACAGATTTAAAATAAATAAATAAATAGATAAAAAATATAGACGCCTACATTCTTCCGGACTCAGCGTGTTTAAAATAAATAGTACAAGATGAAGGTACAGATTAAAGAACTGTCCAGTCTCAAAACTACAGTTCTGTACTCTCATAGACAAAAACCTCAGTGTCCTAAGTCCTACAAAAAATAACATACAAAACATTGATTAACCCATTATGGGAATGTTTGATAATATTTGCACATATTCGGATGTTCAAATTTAACGTTTACCCATCTTTTATGAGAATCTTCCCAATTATTCAGCCTCTATGGGATGAAAATGTAGGTAGTCCGGTTGTGACTTAGTTGTATAAGACTCTTAGACTGTATAATCTCTAGAAAAGAACTGTCTATAGACAAATAAACAGCAACTCCTAAAGTTACTGGTTTCCATCAGCTGTACCCACTGTCACTGTCCATGGTGCTGAACTCTGCAGTCACGTCATGTTCTTCAAACACGTGCCCTCAATTTTTGTCTTGTGATGGAGTTAACAAAATGAAGGTTTTTGGGGTTACAGACCCAGCAGGAAAAATACATACATAATCCTGAGTAATATGTGAACTTTGGCTGTCCACTCAAAGTTGCAAAGGAGAGTTTTTTTCATTTTTTTTACCCAGTAGTTTTAGTTGCCTAAAATGAATCAGACCCTAATTAATGGTAACAGATCAGAAAAAGCTTACATTCATCATATGGGTTGTTTTTGGAAAGCACGGACAAACAACCTTCTTTGTCGTTATGAGGACTTGTTGGTCACTCTCATGGCGTAAACTATTAAACTTTAGTCACTGTAAATTCGGGGTTCTGGGAATGAAATATGGACTGAGCGACATCAACCATGACAGCTGTTCATGCAGGCTGCTCTGGTGAATTTATTTCAACAGTGAATTAAATGAATTTGAAAGCCTTCAATTAGCATGACACAGTCTTCTGTTCAGCACGTGTCCCTTTACATAATATGTGTCAGGAATAAATTCTGAAATTTTGGTCTATTAAATGTGCACACGTACATAAAATTTTGATGTTCGGTACACTTTATCACGTGCAATCATTCATGCCAGTGTAATACATATGTGTCCACATCTGTAGATCTTATGGTACTTTTGTGCAAGGCTTGAAGTCTATATTTGCCTCACTGTGTCCTCCCGCATACGCCGATGTCGATCTATAAAAGGTGAAACGAGGACAGAAAGAGTAATCAATGCTCCAGGTGTCTGAGGGCATACAGATTTCCTTTTCACTTTCTCCACTCTGGAAAAACAACAAATGACACTCGAGTCAATGAGCGGACTGCAGAGGTCATCCGAGGCAATACTACTGTATATTTCTAACATTAAACCTGTTACATATGCAGATTACAACAGATTCCACATTTCTTTTGACGTGTTTGTGGTGGTTCGTGCTTGTACGTCTGTGTGTGTGCGTGTGTGTGTCAGAGCTGCAGGACAAGGGGCCGGGCGAGTGCTGGATCTTATCTGTGTGTGACAGGGAGAGGGACAATGCAGCGAATAGATGCCAAGCCAACTGCCACCTTGCAGGGCTACAGCGCTTTTTATAGCCCTCACTCCTCAAAAAGGCAAAAGATCTTTCTCTCCCTCCCTCTCCGTCTGTCTCTCCGTTCTCATTGTATTCTTTGGAGTGTTCTACTTTTTAAATGTTCTTATTCCCCATTTAGAAGGCGAGCTACGTTTAAGCCCACAGTTACTATGGCAACCCCTATTTGCATCTGAAAAAGTGCATTTGAAGGGGCCAACGAAATGTGCAACAACATGCCTCGGCATTGTGCTTCACTTAGCAAGTACAGCAAATATGGACATATGAGAAATGTGATGCGGGTCGTCTTAGGTGGTGGTGGTGGTGGTGGGGGTCTATTATATCTTTGGCACCATGAGTATCAATATTCCAAATATATTTCCAATTGTTTTGAAATGTGTTGTGTCTAATGTTTAATGCATTTTTCTTCTTTTATGATTTCAGTTTCAATTTATACTAGTTACACTTTCATTTTACTGCAGATGGTTCAAATTATGTAATAAACAAACATTACCATTATGTACTTAACCCTTGTGTTTTGTTTACATTGGTTTTACTTTCCCATTGTAAGGGGTCCCATAGACTCCGCCACTGTATGTGTATTATTATTATTATTATTATTAGTATTACTATTAATAATAATAATAATAATAATAATAATAATAATTATTATTATTATTATTATTATCAAGCATTGTTATTACACCAAAGAGGAAACACATTATATTTGATATGTTATGTGGATTGAAAAAACATTCACAGAAATATATGTACAGTATTTTATCCTACAGTCAGACATTGCTTATTTTTAAGAATTGATCTGATGGTCAAACAATTTCCAATAACAAAGACTTTTTGGGGATTTGGGAGGGTATAGTGCTGTGAAAGACGTAGCATTAGTCAGCACTAATCGCAAATGTAGGACAAAACAGACCTTTTTCACAGCAGCTATTAAACACGTGTTACCAGTGATAAATTGATAATTTTCTGTAGCAGACTCTGAAACTTGTCATAAACTCATAATAAGAAATCCTTATAAAATTAGAAAAGGTATAAAAACAATGTTAAGTAGGTTTTTGGAGTTGTTAATGAGGGCCTGGGGTCTCCATGATCCCAAACTGAACATTATGGGAGCTGCAAAGTAAAAAAGCATGGAAGCATTTAAAAGTCTACTTTTAAAAAAGTATTTTTTATTTTTTTATTTTTTTTATCAAAGAGGTTTTTAAAGACAAAATTGCTCTGAAGTTTAGCAACTGGAAGCCATCTTTATGATCATCATTACATAAATAAAAATTCTTTTTCTCTATTCCAGATGAAATTCAGTAGTTTTTGTTCAAAGATTTTAAACAAGGATTTACTACTGGCTACGTTGTCTCACTTACCGAGAGATAATGTCTCTGTGGCAAAAAATGTAGTGACGTGGAGCTAAATATAGCTGCCTAAAAGGCTTGACACACCAGCTCACAGGAAGCGGGAGATGGGAAGCACATTATTGACAAAGGCCGATTCTGCTGCTCATCAGGAAATATGGAACATTACTCCCCTTCACAAATGATTTGCTTTTGGCATTTGGGAGGGATAAAAAATCCAATATATTGGATTTGTGGGGGTCTATTTACAATGCATCAGTGTTATATAATTTGATGCTTTTCTACCACAAACAGGCTGTCTGTACTATTATCACAATGACCACCACTTTGTTGATTTGAGGATTTTTATCTGATAAGCCTATTAGAAAACAATTCCACATGCATTTGCCATAATTGCCATAACTGAGCCTTTAAGGCTGTAGGGTCACTGGAGATAATTGGTGAGGGAGTAAAAAGGGGCGATGATGTTGTTGTGTCACTAAAATGGAGCGAAATCACCGGGACAAAGCAAAGCAAAACTAAACAAAACATGGCGTCAGTCGAGAGGCTTCCACCAATTCAGAGGTGAGTTGCCAGGTTACAGACTGAATGCACAGAGGCTTTATAATGAATCTCTCAAGACTTTCCCCTCAGGATCTCTCTCCCACTCATCCACACACATGGACATGCATGTGTGTATATGTACAACTTCACTTCCAACAAAATGCAGGTTTAAGATAAAGCTGGTCAATGATGACGAATCATGCTAGGTTTATCCATTGGATAGATTTTCCTGCAGTTTATCAAGGAAACAATGTACATCTTTTTACTTTGAAACCGTTAATATATTCTCATTGTCTCATTACATGCTGAACAAACATTTGACTCTTCCTATGATGTCGTCTTTCAGTATTACTTCACTGTCACGTTCAATCATGACAACCAGAAGGCTCTGGAGCTGCGCACAGAGGACGTCAAGGACTGTGATGAGTGGGTGGCTGCCATTACACAGGCCAGGTACTTCTCACACATGACCCTTCACCAACATACACACATTCAGCTTAGGATGTTCTTATGATGAGAATATTTGTGTGTTTGTACCCTGTGATGTAGCCCTGTTTAATCAGTGATTGTGAAAAATAAGTGTAACCCTTACCCTAGAAGAGGGGTAGGAAACCTGCCGGTCTTTAGCCCCTCTCCAGTGGCTTCCCGTGGCTTTGACAAAATAGATTTTTTTTTTAATCATTGTTGTAGGCCTAACATGATTCTTACATTCTCCAATTGTAAAAATCTGTAGCCATTACTCACTGAATACATTTTTAAAAACATTTCATCAACTAAAATATGCATCATATGTTATGTCCTGACCTCTGTTATTTATATTTATTTATTTATATTTTGCTGAACCTCAGTAGTGGTGGACTTATAGATTAGCACATAATTCTTCAATTTATCGGACGGCATTAAAATCACCAAAAGTGGAGATAAATCGTTTCCCCTCAACAGCATCAAACTGGTCAATTACATTACTATTAACTTCTTACAGTCTGATGTTTTAAAGTTCAACTGAAATTGGACCAAATCCTTTCAGTGCACTAGAAAAATGCACTGCTAACGTCATTTGGAAGGCTTGATGGCTAATTAGCTGCTCAGCACATTAATCCGCATGTAAACATACCTTCAAATGTCACTTTGGTTCACCATGCTGGTGTGGTCCTTACTCTTCAATACTACTAACGCAGTCTATGTTGGCCTAGGTTACAGTGCAAAATGTTTACTCTGTCTCTCTTCCATCTGCCAGCTGCTGTCAATCAAACACAGATAAGCCCCCTGGCCGGCTGAGACCACTGACAGTATATGGCTGAGACAAAAAGTATCATTTTCTGACAATGCATTTTAAAAACTTGTTGACTACAAAACGGGATTACTAAATGTGATTTAAGTTGGTCTTAAAAAAATGAATAATATACAATCAGTTGTATCATAACAAGAATCAAATGTGAGGCTGCACTTAGGCACAGTGGTCCTTAAAGCTAAATGCGAATATCAGTATGCTAACAGGCTCACAATGACAATGTTAACAAGCTGATGTTTAGATATGTTTACTGTTGTGTAGCATGTTAGTATGGCAAACTAAGAGGCACTAAAAAAGTACAGCTGAGGTATTTAGTATTGGACAATCCAAATCTGATCCTAATCAAAAAGACAGGGGATCAGCAGTCATTCTGATTCATTCTCTTGGAACCATGGAAACATGATTTGTACAAAATCTCATGGTAATTTACGCAACATTTGTCAAGATATTTCTGTCTGTGTTGGGCAAAGCCGCCCCTAAAATCCTGCTCCTAATGTGGCTAAAAAAACATTTGTGTTAGTTTCAAATGTCCGATTAAGTCTAATTCATTCATTAATGGCGGCTTCAGACTAAACATATAAGAACTAGAGTAGAATAAAGAGCAGCACAAAACAGCTGACAGAAAGGAAACATTCTTAATATTAATTTGATAATTTAGTATTCCTGTGTCCTCTCAGATATATTCTGCCAGGCTTCAGATTTTCACTAGATCCCACTGGATGCATGACGAGGAGCTCAGTGTATTTTCAATTTAATCAAACTTTTGCCACACAACCTGATGGAAGGTCAAACCTTCCGTTTTGATGTGAAAGCCCTGTTAAACAGAGAACTGACTCTTCTAAGATTCCCTCAACTGGATTATTGTGTGGATTCTTGTTATTATTATAATTGGAAAACCATTATATAAATAAATAGAATAAATGTATTATTATCAAACTTGATGCACGGAGACCTGAGATGTATAATGAGCGAAATGCTCCTCTAGGATTCAGAGACAAAAGAGGGTCATGAAACCAAGCAATACAATCACTCTAAATGTCAGCAGTGTGCATTTGTATGGCGAAAAAGGTCAATTGATTGGACTCATTGAAGATTACATTGATTAGTGCTCAGTCAAGGCTGCAGCACTTACTGTACAGGGGTAAGTTGGCCTGTAAGAATGTAATACACAGCAGGGCAATGGAAATCTGTATTTACATATCAACATATTGCTTTTTTTTCATTTTGATGTCTGGATGCCATATTCTAATACTTGGGATTTCTTTTTTTACTACTTCAGCACATTTCAAGTTTAACAAGCTGTTTTGCAATGTTAAATCAAATTAAACTGAAACCCTTTGTTGAACTGGGTAATGTACAGAATTATTGCTCATGCAGACGCAGCCTTTGCGCTTGGTTTGCTTAGCCCGCAAGTATTTGAAGAATTGGTTGTGTAAGTGCCTGCTCTCTGTGCGGACCTAAGATCTGTGGTTCAAACACATGCTGATCAGAGGTCTGCTTTTGCTTTGATAAATCTATGGAGAGCCCATGAAACATGCGTTAATGAGGTCCTTACAATGTCTCTGTGTGTGTCTGTATAGTTACAGGAACCTGGCTACAGAGCATGAGACCCTCATGCAGAAGTATCTCCATCTACTCCAAATAGTGGAGACAGAGAAAACGGTTGCCAAGCAACTTCGACAACAGATAGAGGATGGGGAAATCGAGATAGAGCGGCTAAAATCAGAGGTAACTTGCCTTGTAATTTCACGCTAGTAATACCTGTGTATGTGTGAGTGTTTGTGTTTTGTCTTTCTGTATGACACAGTGGAGACAGAGAGAGAAAAGATGGAAGTGAAAGTAGTCAGGCACAGAGTATAAAGACAGAAAGAGGGAATAGGACAAAGGTCATGACCCAGATTACAAACCGCAATGTTGTGAGTTTGTGGCGAGCATCGTAGCTTGCAGCGCCCCTGGGATGTCCTTGTTAGAGACTCTGCAATACTGTTGAGTGTTTTGTATCCTAATTATTCAGTCTAAACTAGATCAAATGCATCTCTCTTTAATGTGCTAATGGCTAGCTCCAATTCAATTGAATGTTTTCAATATGCATGAATCAGCTTCTATTGTATTTGATACTGCAGTCCGCACCAGAAAATGATAATCAACTGTCTCACTTTTCATGGCTAAAACGTGTACTAGTAATGGATTTTGGGTTGTTTTGTTTAATTCCAGTCCTTTATTTAAGCTGTCCATTCTTATTCATAGTCATTCTAATGGAAGTAAATGAAACAGGAATGAATAAAATAAAATAGGAAACATTTTGAACCAGCTGGTACAGTTTGTTCTTGTATGAATTCTGAAACCAGCTAATGGACGGTAACAAAGTTGAACAAAATACAAAAAACAACCCAGAAACATTGAATAAAACATTGATAATAAAAACACAGAGAGGGGTGAGAGACTATGACAAGACCAAGATCATGTGTAGGATTTTAGCTACATACATTATGAGGTACTCATCTTAGTCCACTCAGCAAAAGCAATGTTTGATATGTGTTGAATTTCAGATCGCTGGACTGCTCAAGGACAATGAGAAGATCCAGTCAAATCCAGAAGTACCTCCCAGTGATGACGACACCGAGATCAAGAAGATCAAAAAGGTGAGATCTGATTGTTTTGCTGTTGTGCACTTTTAAAGAAGAAAGCCTGACTGACTGCAGTTTTCTTGATGAAAAACCAAAGTAAGGACAGGCGAAAGGGGGAGCTTTTAGGTAAAGTTTCATCTGTTCCATCATTGATTCATATGGTTTCTTTTAAACAATAAATCAGTCTGCAGTTCCCCTCAGCTCTACAGAGCATTTTAGTGTCTTTCAGTTCATTCTGGTCCACAACTTTACTGAATTTTTCATTTAATCTAATTTAGCAACTGAAGAGGTAGAGGTTCTTCTCAGGAGTTGGTGGAGAACAAAACAGAGCTTAAAAGAGAGTGAATATTGGATTTACATGAAGCAGAGAACACGTCTCGAAATAAATGCTAATGTCTGCAAGATGTGTAAATAGGCTACAACTTTTTAAGGTAATAATGTGTCGTGATTACAGCTTGTTGTGCTGCCCCCAAATGACCAATTAATACAGATTTTAGTACAAATACGAATTCTCTAGCTGCTAACACTGTGACGGCCCAAACCAGAACTAGCTTTAGCATGTTACATTAAGATACAAATCTGACTCTTATTCAACTAATGGTGCATTTGTGTGTTGATCTTCATCATGTGAAGTTGTAAATTGTTTACTACCAGGAAGGATTGTCTACATCTAGCAATGGCTTTTTTACTGGTCCACATTAAGTGACATTTAAGGTGACACTTTCAAAACCCACTGGATTACCTAAGAAATTTATAGTCACAAATACATACATGCACACACATATTGAAAAAAACCTTAACTTTTGTATGCTACCCTTTATCATCACAGGTCCAGAGTTTCCTGCGAGGTTGGATTTGCCGCAGGAAGTGGAAAACCATCATCCAGGACTATATCCGTTCGCCGCACGCTGAAAGCATGAGGAAAAGGAACCAGGTGGTGTTCAGCATGCTGGAGGCCGAGGCCGAATACGTTCAGCAACTCCACATCCTGGTCAACAACTTCCTGCGACCACTCCGCATGGCCGCCAGCTCCAAGAAGCCGCCCATCACACACGATGATGTCAGCAGCATCTTCCTTAACAGGTGTCTGGTTGTTAGTCTGGTTGTGATAGTGGTGTGACTCGGCACAGTGGGAGCTGCCAGCACTTGTGAATGGTATAGGGAGAAACAATAGCTCATGACCACCATTTTGTTTATTTGTTTTATCAGTGAGACCATCATGTTCCTCCATCAGATCTTCTACCAGGGTCTGAAGGCCAGGATAGCCAGCTGGCCAACACTGGTGCTGGGTGAGAAAGACACAGACAACACAAACAGTTGAACATTAGGCTGTTTTATGTTGGGATTATTTACAACCTGTTTCATTTTAATTAAGATTTAATAATGACACAGATCAGGCTGAATTCAGAGTATAAATGGGTACAAATCAAATGTTCAGATATGAACTGAGAACTCAATTCAGGTGTTTTGTAGATACAATACAGAGCGACTGACTCTAAACATAGCCTATGTTTTTAGATGGAGCTCATCGGTTGTCCATTATCTTTGTTAAATAAAATATTTTAGGATTACTGCACAGGAAATATCCTGTATCAGCAAAGCATATTGTATATGCTCATGAAGATGTCTGCTTCTCTTTACAGCTGACCTGTTTGACATCTTGTTGCCTATGCTGAACATCTACCAGGAGTTTGTGAGGAACCACCAGTACAGCCTGCAGATCCTGGCCCACTGCAAACAGAACAGAGACTTCGACAAGTTGCTGAAGCAGTACGAGGCTAAGCCCGACTGTGAGGAGAGGACGCTGGAGACCTTCCTTACTTACCCAATGTTTCAGGTAAGATTCCGGGCTCACAGTGAGCATGACTGAAGTATTATGACACAATCCACACACAATTTCATATACTGTAGTAAACTGTGGCCTTTGTGAAGCGTGTAAATTACTTCTTTTTAGTGCAGTGTCAGTACCCCTGCAACACCCTCCTTTATTCTATCTTTCAAAATTCTAAAGTATGTATTTGTTTTAGAAAAAACGTTTTGCACTGGAAAAACTGCGGTAAAACATATATGCAATATTGTATTAATTTAGTACTGACCTGTGTTGTGTTTTTAAACATACATCATATCACACAGTCTTGTCTGGCAAATCACAGATGAGTTAGACGTTTGTAATAGAGCCAAAAAATCTATTTAAAAATTTGACGCATGCTCATCGGACAATATTTGTCATTCTGATTTGGTCTAAACCGGACCAGTGATTTCTCGAAGATAACATTTAATGTAAGTATAAAATGTGTTGACTGTTAGTCGTGGCTCCCCCATCAGGGCAACAGGTTTTGAATTTAAACACCAGATTGCATTGATTCAATATCTTTCCATTCATCATAATCAGATAAGCAATGCAGCGGTTATGGCCCTTGTAATTTTGTTCTGTGATCTGAAGTTATAATGCCAATATTAGGCAATCAATGTATTTTCTAAGTGTGAAAATTAATAATTATATATATAGTTCTTAAATTGGACCATTGTAAGATGTCACTTTAGAAATTCTGTGTTGTAAAGAACAACTTGGTTCGGGTTTCTTAAACTTCAGTAATGAGATGACGTGCTAACAGCAGTTGCACTTTTACCCAACAACCTGTTTTCAGTGGTTGGACGAAGGTTGTCAAAGCTACTTCAACAGCAAAACAATGACGCAGAGACTCACACTTAAAGTGAAGACATAAAAGTGGATATTGTAGTGACAAAAGAAATATTTTGTTAATGGAATATTTATTGAAAATGTTTTATGTGTCAAGTGAAAGTGAAAAGAAGTGCCATTGTTATTAGCTTTATGTTGTTCATTTCAAAGATGATCTTTCTGCCTTTCAGACAAACCCTGGACAGGCTTTATGACCAATTAAATACCAGTCCAAGGCCATTAGAGTTAAGATGCTTGACACTTGACACACTTCATAAAAGCTTTAAATCTCTTGACCTTTCAAAGTTTAAAGTGTAAGATTAAATATATACTAATTTCAATAAGTGGTTCAAACATCTCTCTGTTTCTCACTCAGATCCCCCGTTACATCCTGACATTGCATGAGTTGCTGGCTCACACCCCCCATGAGCATGTGGAGAGAAACAGTCTGGACTACGCCAAGTCAAAACTGGAGGAACTTTCCAGGTAGATCAGTCAGTCAATCAAGCAGCTGAAAATGATCCGTATGTTGTACTACATGATATGTTACAGCTCAAAGAAACTTCGAGAGCTTTCTAGGATTTAAACAAGAATTGTATTGTATCTGCAAGGTAACTCCATAGGTCATTAGATTGTATGTTTGTATAACTATGTCATCTGCCATTAATCATTATCGTTAATCAGTCCTTTAAACAAGTCTGAGAGTACAGTGTGTATTAAAAGCATTTTTTCTAGGGATACTGTATTATCAATGAATTCAACTTTAACTGTGAAGTACCTGATCACATTTTTTTTTATCCTTTCAGAATCATGCATGATGAGGTGAGTGAGACGGAGAACATCAGGAAGAACCTAGCTATTGAGCGGATGATTGTGGAGGGCTGTGAAGTGCTGCTGGACACCAGTCAGACATTTGTTAGGCAAGGTAAGTGTGTTTCATAGGTATATTGGTTTGTTTGACAAGACAATTGAGGGTAAACATGAAACTGAAACTTATTAAACTCATTAGTTTATTTAAGGAATGTATTTAGTTTATCTAATCAGGGATTCCACATCTCAAACCACAACAACAAAAGAAAGGTCACGCAACCAGCTGGACAATTTACTCAGAAACTGTAATCAATTTACTCATTGCTCATATTCAAAAGTAATGCATTACATTAGTAACAAAAGTAATGAGTTTACTTTACTTTTGTTACTCAGCCACACTCAGTCAAAAGTGCTTTTAAACAACTCCAATCTGTAGAAATCGAAATTGAGACATTGTGGATTAAAAAGGCCTACAATTTGGAGGGATTTACTGACAATGACATTATTAGTGTCTTAATGGAAACTGTTGGATGAGTCAAACACAAATGTACAAATGTGTACTCTGTTATATCTAATTTAGGAGTGACAAGTATTACCACCTGTGATGGATATTATCATCCTACACAAGCTTAAATGTCCCAAACAATATACCAAATGGGGCAATACTGACAAAAGTAGGAGTGTATTACAGTAAAATATAAATTGCTCAACATATATTAAACACCATCCTCACACGTCTCTCCTGCAGCCTTTTCTGTTGTGATGCATCACATGTACTCTCACCCAGATGTTCAACACCTTCTTCCATCTTTGCAGACATGTGAACAAAATAATTGATTACTGACGCACAAACACAAGCCTGCCACAAATTCTAGTGCAACTGCAACAGAAGTTTGAATAAGTAAACAAAAGATTTACTCTTGAAAATTACAGACACAGTAGGAGTAAACATCCACACGTGATTATACAAGGGTGTGGACCTGAGGGAGTGCCATTTAATTATTCCCATTAAAGGCTTTCAAAGGTTAGACACCAATTATAAGATCAAGATCAAAGTCAGTATGCAAATCACATGTGTTTTCTCATGTGTTTTTTTGTGTGTGTGTGTGTGTGTGTGTGTGTGCATGGTATTGACACTCCACAGGTTCTCTGATCCAGGTGCCGATGAGCGAGAAAGGGAAGATCACGAGAGGTCGACTGGGCTCTCTGTCTCTGAAGAAAGAAGGCGAGAGACAGTGTTTCCTCTTCTCCAAACATCTCATCATCTGTACACGCGGCTCTGGGGGAAAACTTCACATCACTAAGGTACAGTAGGACCGTTACCGAGACGATAAGTGACTAATACTAACAGATTACAACACAATAAATTGAATTAACTCTGAAATGATCTTATAAAACAGATCAAAGTGGTAGTAGCTAATTCAAGTAATCCAGGAGTCTAGAATTACATTACATTGGCAAGAGACACTGAATAATAAAGCCTCGCATTTGGTCCAACTGTTATGTATTATCAACCCTTTACATATTTAATCTCAAAAGGGTCTTTGAAAAAGTGTTTAAACAAAAAAAGCAGGAACTGGAACTAACTAAATAAAAGACCATAAACGATGGATAAAATGACATGTAATGTAACCTGGTATTTTCCAATTAAACTAGTAATTCAATTAAGACATTGCTTTATTGATCTCCAAAGATGCAGGTAGCTTTTCTCCAGAAACTGTTTTAGTCACATATGCAAATTGTATGATATTGATTTTATGTTCTTAGCAACTGTAAATCACAGATCCAGAGTTTTCTATTGGTGGAGACTTTTACAAAGTCTGTTCTGTTTTCGGCAGCATTTGTTAAGACTTATCAAAATTATACATAAGCCCCCACTGTTTATTAGCCGGTAACAAGCTGTATGTGACCTTTGAACCCTGTCATAGAATGGAGTGGTCTCTCTCATAGACTGCACACTGATGGAGGAGCCAGAGGGGACGGATGATGAGTGTAAGTTACTACATCACATTTTCTATGTTTAATACGTATATGTAGATGTTTACATGTACTGTGTGTAGTTGTAGACTACTACACACACTATTGGCATCATCTTCTCTGAATAATTTCAAACTTTACGAAAGCAAACTTGCAGCAACAGTCAGTGAGTATGTAACACAACCATGAAGTCTCTGAGGAGTAGAACATCCTTTATCAATTACCCATAGCTGGGTACTTTCTTGTCAATAATTCATAAATAAATCACTTTGATGTCTGTCATTTTGTTTGAAAATTTATGAAATTATTTTGGTAGAAGAAAGAAGTCTTCAGATATACAATTGTGTTTGTGGGGAGGAGAAGATTTTGTATTTTGAGTATTTTTCCTAATGTTAACCTGACTCATGGCACTTACATCATTTCTTCTTCATTTTCCCCTTCACTCCCGCAGTAACTGCTGTGTTGGGGGTAGCAAAAAGTGAGTAGTTACAATAAATCAGTACAATAAAACTTGACAAATCTCTATAATAATCCTGTTTTACATCCACTATCCAGAGAGCTGTAGACTTTTTCTTCTAGAAAGATGTTGTTTCTTGACTCACTACCATCAAATTTAACCAAACGATTGCAGTCATAATTGTTGACTGGTTGAATGGTGTCGGTTGCACATGATTTAACCAAGGTAACCACAGTGAATCATTGTGAATAATATAATATTGTGCTATGCTATGCTTTCATACCACACTTTCCAAATTAGAGGCTGCAGATGGAAAACACATATCTGCTGCTGCCTTAAGATGAATGTAGGGATTTAATCTTCAGAAGGAGAAGGCTGTCATGCAGTTTAAAGCATTGTAAAGGCAGTTTTCTTTTGCAACAGATACTGGTAAGAATCATCTTTAGCTTAGTAAGGAAAGCTTTACTGAACACGACACCTGTATTTATAATGCTGAGCTCAAATAATGGTCGAGGGATGTCCAGAATGCGTCTCATTACTGGCAAGACTCGCTATTACATATCTCCTTGATGATTTTTCCTCCTTGTACAGTAACACGTTAGAACAAGATTCTCATAGGATTTTTATTAATTTTCACATTCAATGTAAAATTTGGCCCTCTCAGAGCTTTGTTTTTATTTTATTTTGTCATTTCTGTTTTCTTATTTGTTCCTCTTTCCTCTTATAGTGTTTGTTCTCAGTATAATTTATTTTTCCCTGTTACAATATAATGAAGGTGTTGAATTTGTGCCTTGCAGCCAAAGGGGAGCGGAGTGGCCAAGACACAGAGCACCTGGACTTTAAAGTTATGGTGGAGCCCAAAGACGTACAACCCTACACCGTCATTCTGGTGGCTTCATCCCGACAGGAGAAGTCAGCGTGGACCAGTGACATCAGCCAGGTACGTGTCATTAGAATTTACAGCTAAGACTGTAGGCTGCCCTCAGACACTTCCTCTATATTATGAGAAAAAAGCTAGAAGGCCAGTGTTGAAACTTACATGAAAATGCTAAGCTAAGATTTTTTATGAAATTATTGTGGCTGCCACTTTAAACAGCAATGACTAAACCCTGTGTTAATCTACACCAATTGTAGGTCAGTTGGTATGGAAGTGCAAGTTAAAGCATAATGAGATATATTTTGGGACAGAACATAATCATTAAAAAGATTGGAGCAGAAAAGCACTGCAGCTTATGGTCATTAGGGGTGGAAAGTTGTATCACCCGCAGGTTTGTGAACTCACTCTCCCTCTTGCTTTTTTCTGTCTGCTTGTCTTACAGTGCATTGACAACATCCGCTGCAATGGTCTTATGATGAACGCATTTGAGGAAAACAGTAAAGTCACCGTGCCACAGATGATTAAGTGAGAGTCGGACACCATGCAGGACTGCACACACCTAATACACATGCACAAACAGAGATTGTTATTGGCATTCCATAAATACATGGAAAATGCATGACGCAAGAACATTTGTGCCCAAACTCACACGTTTGTATATTCCATAGGCTCTAAACTTAACCGTCATAACTATGACTAACCTAAAACTAATGTGACCTTTAGCCTTTAGTTTTAACTCTTAAACAACCTTTTAAAGAAGTGGACAAAATCTTCTTACTTTTGAAAATCTCCTCACTTTCAAAGTCCTCACAAAGATAGAATTACAAGAGCACACTCACACTCAAACATTGAGCCCGGTCCACACAGCACGTGTGAGCAGTGCGGGTGTGTTGCTGAACATCTTGTTTTTTATTTCAGCGCCCATGTTAACAGGTTAGAGCAGCCACACTTTTCAGCAACATTTCAGCTGTGGCTGCAGCGACGCTTCTATTTTTTCTGTGAGCCATGCGTGGTTCTCAGCAAAAATAGCCAGTAACATTATACCAGGACATAAAGTATAACCCATTCACTACAGTCTCAGTGTCTATATCTGTAGAATATGTAACAGACACGAAACAAGTACTAACTTTTTTTTAACTCAACACCTACTGTACCTCTTTCAAATTAAAAGCCCTCTAACGTTTCTGTGGACAGAATCCATTCATTTGTTAACAAGGCTTTTATAGTATTGTATTTATCAAAGGCAAGAAAGCTATGGCTGGCAGAAATGCTCTCGGTGTGGACACCACAGGTGTGCGAGCCACATCAGTTCAGCAATCACACACTGCTCATGCATACTGTGTGGACAAAGGGTTAGTGCTGCAGCTGAAGAAATTACCAGTCTCCTACTGTGTGTATGTATACACATCCACCAGTAGAAAATCTGGGCCCCCTGAATGCAACTCAGTGACTCTGACACAATACATGTCTGCAATACTTTGCATGTTCCCTTAATTGATTCTTTGAGTCCTTTGCAGCCTGGAATTCCTTGATTCATTAATGGCCCTTAGAGGCCAGTGGGACGGACTTACAAGAGAGTCTCCATCAGTTTTTAGTAAGACTGTATAGACAATGCAACTTATTCTGAAGCTGCGTGTGAGGCTAGAAATACAATGTTTTGCAGAATGTTAGTGTGAGTCCACATTTTTCACATTTTATTTCTGGTGGTCTTCTCTGATAACTGTATAGTGTGTTTCCAGTAGGGAAACGACCCTACCTATAGCAATGTAAATGCTCTAAACTAATGCTCCCCACTGACCCGCATGTGACCAGAAAAGTATAATAACTGGAAGTGGGCTTCATAAGTAGAGGGAGCTAAATCCCTGTGAGTAACATTCCTAACTTCATTCCTAACTCCAACACAGGTCGGACACCAGCTTGTACTGTGACGATGTCGACATTCGCTTCAGCAAGATGATGAACTCTTGCAAAGTGCTGCAGATCCGCTATGCCAGTGTAGAGCGCTTGTTGGAGAGGCTGACCGACTTGCGCTTCCTCTCCATCGACTTCCTTAACACCTTCCTCCACTCTTACCGCGTCTTCACCAGTGCTGACGTAGTGCTGGACAAGCTCATCACCATCTACAAAAAGCCCATCAGTGCCATCCCTGCACGGTGAGTGATCCACTGAGTGAGTTGATTCTAAGAGGTTTAATCAGGGATTTAATGAGTTTACTGATACAAAATTGTCCACACTAACCATATTTTAGTTGTAGACTAACAGAGAGGGTTTGAAGATGGCACTTTGCCGTTGTGAACCCATCATTTTATTTCTTGTTCTGCAAAAATGTGTGCCTGTGTGTGTGTGTGTGTGTGTGTGTGTGTGTCTGTACAAATTGTTTCATCTGTTTGATCATATATTACTACCACAGTGTTTTGTAAAGCTAATGACATTCCCATCAGCCTAAGCTGTACAGTAGTGGTAAGTCCTAATTAGCAAATGCTATTAGCATGCTAACATGCTAAACTAAAATGGTGATCATTATAGCTGCTAAACATCAGCATGTTAGCATCTTCACTGTGACCATGTTAGCATGGGGACATTAGTTAAAGGAGCACAACTGTGTCTATTTAAAGGCCAGTGTTTGGTTTGTCTCTTCTGGGCTACTGTAGAAACATGGTGGTTCAACATGGCGGAAGACTGCTCATTCTACGGTACAAAAACATAACGATTCCTGTGTGCAGGGGATCATACACTAACGAAAACATAGTTATGCATATTCCATTGCATTTCTGCCAAGAGATCCTAAATGTTACACACTGGACCTTTAAACTACAAGACACACTACATATTGATCAAAGCTCACCAATCACAGGAAAAGTGTATCAACCAGCAGAAACAGCAGATTTCAAGGTAAAACAGAGCATGGCCCACTTCTGTAGCAGCGTTTGCAATTGTGATTAAGTCACGGAAATGTTTTTTATTATTTTATCTACCTCTGCATATTCTCTGTTAGAGTTTAAGCGGAAGCCTTTAAGCAGCAGAGCAAAAAAGGTTTGTTACTTTAAACTCCTCCAAGCAGGCGAGGCCAATCCCTATAGCTTGTGACGAGTGAAAAAGTTTGAAATTTCCACACATTTCTCCTGAGGATGCAGCAACAGTGCTGTAATGGTGCAGTGAAAAGGTGGGACTTCCCCAGTGTCTCGATTTGTCTTTGCTCTCACGTGGACTGTCTGTAAGAAGCCCATCATGCTATCATAGCCTGTCCAGGTGTGAAGGGACTAGAGGAGAGGCAGTGAGAGGTCACATAAACACATCCACTCCTCTGTCTTCTGTCCACCATCACAGTTAATTGGGTCCTGCATCCACCCACCTCTGCCTAACCCCTCGTCTTTCTGATTCCTCACTGTACCCTTTTCCATTCTCTCACTTTTATTTTTCTTTCCACAAGTCTGACCATTCCTCTCTCCGCTGCGCTGTCACCATGGCAACCCTTCACTCTGCTGCAGGACCCCACCCTCTCCCTCTCTCCTCGTCTTCTGCCTCCCTCCCTTCCTCCCTTTCTCCCATCATCTGCAGCAACTCTACGGTATTAAATATTGATGGTGGTGTTTTGCACCCAGACCCTGCTCTCCTCTCCTCTCCTCCCTTCTTTTTGTGTTACTCCTCTCTCTTTTCCTACTTAATTATCTCCTCCCGTCTTTCCTCTTTCCTGCTTCATTTGTGTCCTCTTTTGACTCTCTACTTTGCTTTTTGCTTTGCTTTTTGTTTCTCATTTTCTTTTTGACTCCCCCTTCTCTACTTTTCCTTTTCCTCTTCCCCTTCCAGCCTCCCCCTTCCTTCCCCCATTCCCATCTTTGTTCCTCTCATCTTTCTCTCATCTCATTTCATTCTTTTACAGTTTTTGCAAATTTAGGCGAGGAGACACAACATGGCTGCATCTCACACCATACAGGGCTTGAGGCTTCCCATTCGCCCACTCCCAGCCAGCAGCCTTCGCTGTGGTGGAATCCATATCCACTATGTTGCTCCTCTCTCGCCCCCTCCCTCTCAGCCTCACTGTTTTTGCCCCTGCTTTTTTTTTTTGCACTGCACCTCTGTCTCTTTCTCTCACTTTCTCTCTCTGTCTCTATCTGGCTCCCCCTTTCTCTGTGTTTCTCTCTCCCCATGTCTCTGTGGGCCTCCCCAGGGCTGGTTGCTGTTGGCAGCACCCGTGCCTCCCACACTGTCACTTGACATGCTATTTATAGGCCTTCAGAGGGGGTGGCTCTCAGTGCAAGGAGGATGCTGTCTTAAACAATGTAGCTTAAATAAAAGAGGCAGGAGCTCCCAAAGAGCCCTGTGGTTAATGTCTTCCCTCTCTGCTTCTATGTACGGACACCAAGTGCACCATGCAGCCCCATTATCACTATTTCTCCCCTTTCTACTATCTCCTATTCAGGTCACTGGGACTAATTACCCAAAATCAGAAAAGTGATATTTATTAGTAGTGAGAGATGCTCTTCTTAATGTTCATCCTTTTGTCTCTCTCCCTTTTCTCTTCGCTTTCATTCTATTCTTTCTTGTAGTTCTTTGGAGCTTTTTTTTGCCAGCAGTCAGAACAACAAACTCCTCTACGGCGACCCACCTATGTCGCCACGTGCCAGCCGCAAGTTCTCCTCCCCTCCTCCTCTCTCCATCACCAAGACGTCCTCGCCCAATCGCCGTCGCAAGCTTTCGCTCAACATCCCCATCATCACGGGGGGCAAAGCCCTGGACCTGGCTGCACTCAGCTGTTCTCCCAATGGCTATGCAAGCATGCACTCCACCATGTCGCCCTTCAGTAAGACCACCCTCGACATCAACAAGCTCTATGTGTCCAGCACCATGGCCAGCAAAATCTCAGACGATGGAGAGACCAAAGCTGAAGGCAAGACTGAGGAGTCTGTCCTCAACAAGCAAGGTCAGACTCACTGTTCGAGGGATTTTGCTCAGTTTTAATGAGGCTCACGTGTACTGTGGAAGTATTTTCCACTGCTCATATCTTGTATGCATCCTCTGCTCATACTATCAAATTGCACTGCCTGTCCCATTAAGGTTGTCCAGTATATTTTGCATGTAAAGGAAAAATAATCAGCTCATTTAAACAGTATCTGTTGATATTGATCAGTAGTACATCCAAGTGACCATCCATTTAGTTTTAATTTAAAAGACTATTTTTATTTTTTTGATAAAGCTGAGGATTATCAACCATAAATAAAGATTTGAAACTTTGCACTTATTTACGACTTTATGGGCCCTCGAGTTTACTTCATTTTTGTGTAGAGCTTTTGCTGTCTTCTCTGCTTCAGCATCTTTGGCCAGCTTCCCCCAAGCCCAACCAGACAGTTATGTCCACACATTTCTTCTTGTTTCTACTTCTTATTCTCTGTCTTTTTGTGTGATTGTGAAACACTTTTTTCCTGTCCAGATCTGTCGGTGAGAGAGGAATGTGACGAGGACCCAAGTCAGAGTGACGAAACAGAAGCAGAAATGTCTCCTCCCAAGTCACCATCAACACCCAAGAACGTCAAGTCAAAAAACTCTGGTACAGTATGCTCTGTCTCTCCGTCACTGTTGGGACCCATTGTTAACCTGTGTAAGCTGTTCTTTAACTAAAACCCTTTAAGAATGTCTTGATCAACTTTTTTGAATCCCAACCCACCAGTTAAAAAAATAAATGAGTTGGCAAGAATGTTTAGTAACTTGGCAAGAATGTCAGAGCTGGCTACAGTAGCTTAGTGCTTGATGCTAGTGATATACAGTACTTGCCAGCGGAGTGTCTTGGCGGATAAGAATATAACCAAATAAAATCAATAATAATAGATCATGTCAATAACAAAAACCATTGGTAACATGAAGCACATTTAACAGGCCTGCTTTTCTTGTGTTACACCCTCTGTGAGGACTTGAATGAATCATTCCAACTGGCAGATTACATGACTTAACTTGTCAGAAAACCAGATAAGATGAAATGAGCAGTTATACTGAAATGAAACTGAAATTTAAAAAGAGCAATTGTCCAGTGGAACGCCAATGAAAAGACCTGTAACAGAATTAACACCAGTTGGCCTTCAGATTACAGGTCAGGACATATATTACCTGACTGTCAGCAGTGGCTACACCGAAGTATCAAACTTAAAGCAATAGTTTAACATTTTTGGATACAAATTTTGTGAGTGATGCTACTCTCATGTAAATCTCTCAACACTTGTAAATAAAAAGCTTCTGTCTCCTGCCATTGAGCTTGGCATAAAGACTAAAAACAGGGGGGAAAAGCCTGGCTTTGTCCAAAGGTAACAAAATCCAGTACCAGTATCACTAAATCTTGCTAATTAAGTTATATCTCATTTGTTTGATTTGTACAAAACAAAGTATTAATACATTGTGGTTTTATACAGGGTTATGTGCTGGACTCTTTCTTCACTGGGTGCCGTGACTTTTTTGTCTTACCTATTTCTCGGCAAGACAGGGAATAAGCATGCTTCACAAAATGTTGAACTTTTGTTTTAATACACATGAAACATTCAACTTTGCACATTACTCTGAGTCACACAGAGTGAACATTTCAAGTACTGAGAAAAAAGACGTGTACAAAGCAGGGGAAACTGGCAGCTGTCTCAGCGTTGTAGAATAGGGTACATTTTAGGAGCAAATCATGTTTTCAGTGGAAATGAATGATATCAAAGTGTCAGTGTGATTTTAGATCATTTTTTCCATCCAGCAGCATCAGATTGTGCGTGAGAGAAGTCAGAGAGGTTGAGATGAGAAGAGCAATTCAATGAGCTAAATAAACCCTGCTACAGTAGACTGTATAGCAAACTTTTTTTCAGAAAATGACAAGCGTAACTACAGCCAAATAAGGTCTTGATAAAAACCACCCACAGCCTCCTGGCCCTCCCCGTACAGCACAGAGAGGGAGCATCCACCCCGTAGGTAGTCAGGCACAATTCATCCCCAGTGTGTTCTCTTCCCACGGTGCTGGATACAAGGGAAGCCAGTGCCTTGTGTGAGTAGGTGGAAGGAAACCTTGTACCTTAGCAACGATGTGCATGTTCTTCTATACCGCCCCCGGCTGAACGGAGGAAGGCAGGGAGGAAGGGAGGGAGTGAAGGAGGGAGGCAGACACAGTGGAGTGTACACCGTCACTGCACGAGCTGCAGGACACACTGTGCTGGGTCTGTTTTAGCTCTCTGTTGCCCTCCACTGGTCATCAACTTTGTTTGATTATACACATATAGTCTATCCACAGCACTTCACAGAATGGATGAGCCACTGGCAATATCCCTTATAGCCTTATTAGAAATGTAGACTGAAAGTGTCGTAATATTGGTGTTTGAAAATATGAAATGTTTAGTGTAAGTATCCTTTAACCTTTTAATAGCCATAATGAAGAGTAAATTAAGAATTTAAGAATCTATGTTTTGTTTCCTTCCCTACAGAGTTTTCCCTGTTTTCCTTCAACAATGGCATGGTGGTGTCATCTTGCCGGGAGCTGGACAATAACCGCAGTGCCCTTTCTGCCGCCTCGGCCTTTGCCATCGCCACTGCTGGTGCAAATGAAGGCACTCCTACCAAGGAGAAGTATCGTCGTATGTCGCTTGCCAGCACAGGTCAGTCACATGAAAGGACCCTACTTCTAGTGACCAATAGAGAAACTTATTGAGGACTATCTTCAAATGTCCTTTGTCTGCTATTGTTCCTCTCATTTAGATATTACAGAATTGAAAGTTATCTAGTGTAAATCCAAGTATTGATTCAATAACAGATATCTCTGTAAAAACAGTTAATGTCTGGACATACAGTAAATCAGGTAAAATCATCATTGGTCCAAAGCATAAGCAATGTAGTGCCTCATGACCACCAGGGGGCCCCAGACAAATTACAAATGTGAAGTCCTTTGTTCATTGTATGCCATCATTTAAGTATTTGTGTCAGTGATATTAACTTTCATTTTTATAAATAAATAAACAGATGTTCCTGTACGAAGAAGCAAGATAACAAAACATAAAGGAAACAATGAGTATGCGGGTAAAGGTAATAGTGTTATATCATATAGCTGATTGACTGTAACTTTGTTAAACCTGGTTCCAGGTTTTCCTACAGACCAGAGGAATGGGGACAAAGAGTTTGTTATCAGAAGAGCTGCCACAAACAGAGTCCTGAATGTGCTGCGTCACTGGGTCTCCAAACACTCGCAGGTACAGTTCACCTTTCCCCTACTATCTCTATTCTTTCTACCTTTCTATAGCTTTGCAGAAGAAAAACAACACTTCTGTAATGACTCTGTTGTTCTTCAGGACTTTGAGCTGAACACAGAGCTGAAGATGCGGGTAATTGGCTTCCTGGAGGAGGTGATGCATGACCCAGAGCTCCTGACACAGGAAAGAAAGGCAGCTGCCAACATTATCAGGTTGGTTTTCTGTTATCATCACTTGATTGCTCATACAGTCATATATGACACGCCTGTTTGTCTGCACCCTGTAGAGAAAAGTTTCTGCAAGTATTTCTGTATGAGTATTTCTGATGCCAACAATCAATCATGGTAATAAAAACAGGAACTGGAAATGCAGTACATGGACCCAGGTCCTGGCATAAATCATAGCCCTGGTAGACACGAAATGAACTTGGATACTGGCCGTGGTACAAATAGAAGAAACATTTCACGTTTTTTCCGAGCAGCACTTCTGAATTCTGAAGTATCTTTTGTTCCTCTGGTGAGGACAAAACAGGTTTTTGCATTGGTACAACATAGCAAAACTTGAGTGGAAATCTCAGCACGGTGTGTGATCTAACTAAGCTGTCAGCATGCAGTATTGCTGCATTTTCAGCCTGTGGAGCTGAAGCCAAAAGTGCCTGTAACCTAAACTTAACAAAAAGAGAAATGAACACCCAGTGTACTGGGTCAAGTTGGGCACTTTTGGACAAGTGAAATCCATTTATGTCTATTAAGGTCATAGTTATTGTGGACAAAACTGTCAAATTATGGCACTTTTCTCTTTTTGCATGTAGGACTCTCACTCAGGAGGACCCTGGAGACAACCAGGTCACTCTGGAGGAGATCACACAGATGGTGAGAGGAAGATTACAAAAGCCTTTTAAGTACAAAAAACCTCTTACTTCTTAAGATTACTGAGTGGCCTGTAAAAATGATTTGTGCCTTAGTTGTGAAAATTCTTTTCACTTTGTGTGTGCGTGTTTGTGTGTTTGTCAGGCCATGGAGGACTGTAAGACTGAGCCTTTTGAGAGCCACTCTGCCCTCGAGATAGCTGAGCAACTCACACTGCTGGACCACCTGGTCTTCAAGGTCATCCCATACGAGTGAGTACACAGGCATACATGTGTGCAAACACACAAACACTGGCACTGAATGTTGGTATGTTTTTCATGGCTGATTATTTGAAAAAACATATTTTTTTCTCCAGGGAGTTCTTTGGTCAAGGCTGGATGAAGAACGACAAGAACGAGAGAACTCCGTACATTATGAAAACAACCAAGCATTTCAACGATGTATGTGTTTACTCTGGTATTGTAAATATAAAGATAAATGTGTATGATAGATAGATAGATAGATAGATAGATAGATAGATAGATAGATAGATAGATAGATAGATAGATAGATAGATAGATAGATAGATAATTATCTATTGTTCTCTTATTTTGTCAGATCAGCAACAGGATTGCCACAGAGATCCTGCAGTGGGACGATGTCAACATGCGAGTGGCGGTGATCGAGAAATGGGTGGCAGTGGCTGACATCTGCCGCTGCCTCCACAACTACAACGCCATGCTGGAGATCACTTCCTCTCTCAACCGCAGTTCCATCTTCCGCCTCAAGAAGACCTGGCTCAAAGTCTCCAAGCAGGTATCAGTCATTTCTTCCAGCAGTGAAGTTAACCAAAAGGGTTGAGGATCTCCAGGTTTTAGCTTAATGGTTCAAGTAATCACTAATGTTCAGTTGTCCCAGGCACCTTAACATCACCTGAAGGAATAGTTTGCCATTTTGCGGAATATGTTTATTTTTCTCTCTGGCCAAGTATTAGATGAGAGGATTAGTACACCTTTCATGTTTTGTACACTAAATATAAGGCTATAGCGACTTCCTGGTGTTTTGTTGTTACTGTGAGGTTGCCAAGAAACCAGCAGAGACTCTAGAAAGTCACTGCTCCCGGCCAAGAAATAGTACCAGCATGTTACTCCCTGTGAAACCACAAGTTATCATTTTTATACTTTGATTGTTGTACATGTTGAGCAAATAAGATATAACTTGTTAATCAGTGCGCATTAGAGATAATGGCGAATTCAGGCTCTTTCCCCCTGTTTCCAGTCTTTATGCTAAGCTAAACTAATTGTGTCCTGGCTCTAGCTTCATATTTAGCTGACAAAAATGAAACAGAACATTTTGTAAGTTACACAGAACGAAAGGAAGACTACGTGCTCTAAGAGAGGCCGATAAAGCTGGTTTTGAATAACGTTTCTGGCTGCTGGCTGGTAACAGTTTTACTTTGATCCATTTGCCAGACAAAGACTGTGATTGACAAGTTACAGAAGCTGGTGTCATCGGAGGGACGATTCAAAAACCTGAGAGAAGCTCTGAAGAAGTAAGTACCTAATGCTTCTTCAGCCTCCTGTCCTCACACATTGTGCTGGAGGAGTTTTATATATTCTCCTTCATCTTTGTGTACTATATATCTATATCTGACCTGCCTTCGTCCTCAGCTGTGACCCTCCCTGTGTTCCCTACCTGGGCATGTACCTGACTGACCTTGCCTTCATCGAGGAGGGAACACCCAACTACACTGAGGACAACCTGGTCAACTTCTCCAAGATGAGAATGGTAAAGAACACCTGTGTGCTGAAGTATATACAATAACATGCTCCTAATATTATTTCTTGTACTATTTCTTCTCAGCAATTTGTGCATTAAGTATTGTGGACAGTACATCCCTGCAAGGTTGACATTTTTATAATTTTCACTACATTTGTCTTTAGATATCTCACATTATCAGAGAGATACGGCAGTTTCAGCAAACAGCTTACAAGATTGATTATCAACCAAAGGTGAGATTGTTTTTTATCTGTACTTTATATTTTATTCCAATATTGTATCATTTTTTAAGGAGCTGCCGACTTTGGTTACTTATTTAGAGGTATTGTTTGATTAGTTCTGCAATATTTTTTTTTTCAAATGATATAAATCTGTATTGTTTAGTAAAAGAGTTTCCCTTAACAGAACATAATATTGGCCAATGAGTCTTTTCAGATTTAAATTGTAAAATTCAGCAAATTAATTTTATATATTTCTATATTTCTGAATATATGACTAATATAAATGGCTGCAAGTAGCAAGTATGATTAAAATGTACTAGCCACAGGCTAATGGGAATAATGGGTATCTATGATTACTAGTCAGTGATTACCCATGATAAACAGTATAATCGTAAGTTTGGTCAGTGGAACTTTTTTGGGTTGTCACATTTGAAATAAATAAATAAATAATAAATTAACTCATTATATTCAAACATAACTTAAACATAAAATAAAAAAAAAATAAACAGTGAATAAAGGTTTCCAGCCAAAGTGGCCGATAGAACAGTTCATCATCATGGAAGAAATGTTTTATATATTTCTACTGTCATTCAACTTCTATTCTAAATGTTGAGTCCGAAAAAACTAAACAAAAAATTATTCAATTCATTATTGCTTTAGGTTGCAAAGTACTTGCTGGACAGCAGTTCAGCGCTGGATGAGGAGAGCCTGTATGAAGCGTCTCTGAGAATCGAGCCCAAAACTTCATCATGAAGAGGATCTCTCTCTCTCTCTCTCTCTCTCTCTCTCTCTCTCTCTCTCTCTCTCTCTCTCTCTCTCTCTCATAACCCTCATATGGAGTGTACAGGAACAATATATCATAATGTACATATACTATTATTTGTATTAGACACAGTAGGCTGTGCCCTTCTAGTATGTGTTCCCCAATGGACTCTTTGTGTATAATCGTTATTAGAGACTGAGTAGAAGCCCAGAGAGGTTTAATTTATATAGTTACAGAGTATTTATATGTTATTTATCGTCTTAAATACCATTTTATGATAAAGTTATTTTCAACCACAGAATAAACAGATGAAAGAGTATACAGACATGATATTTAGTCATATCCTAATGGGAATGTGCAGAATAAAAAGGCTCTCACTCATGAGAGATGGTGGTCACCTTTAACACATGATGATCAACTCCCACTTTTCTGCTCAGATGTCAAAAAGAGAGAGAACTGCACATGCAGTTGCCTTTAAACTAGTCTCCATACAAACACTCTGCGTGATTAGTACAGCAGCCATTATTTCAACCTGTTTGTCCTCAAGTGTAGATCTTTAAAGTTAATACAGATATCTGCTAATCCACTAGCTGCATGATCATTCATTTAAAGTTGTAATCCTTAAGAGTCCTGCTTGATTTGAATACAGCGTGGGAATGGCAGACTCCAGCACTAACACTGAAACCTACTAATTACTGAATGTAAATGCATTGAATGGCTATTGCAGAAAAAAAGCTGACCATAACTAGTATCAAAAAGTTTGTTTCATTTCATGAAGATCTTGAGGATTCAAACTTTAAGATTATGAAACATTTTAAAACTTTTAGAAATGACGGTCATGAAAAGTGGGACTGCCGTGATGGCTGAAGTTGAATCATGTTCTCAGATGTTTTATGTAGCCACTGAATGACAAAGATTAGAGATTTGGAATAAGTTGGAGTACAAGATTACCTATTTCTGATTGAGCTGGGACAACATGTTTTCAGTTTGGAGAGATGGGTTTTTATGCTTTGCTTATTATCACTTTACTCCCCTGGTGGGCAACATGATGTATATACAGTATAAGCACCGGGCAGTGTATGTAGCAGATGTAACCAATATTGAGCCACTTATGGAAGTTAAATTCCCAGCTTCTACACTCAGACACTAAGAGCATAGTTTTTATGGTTAATCCTCTTTGGCCAGTGCATTATGGTTTTGCCTTAATCATGAAATGGATTATATACACAAACGTATGTAAACTATTTTGTTCTACGATTTGCCAATGAAGCAGAAATATTTGCTGTGTACATTATCGTGTACAGGCAGTCTGATGCATTTCCTAACGTGCAATGTGTTAAAAACATATCCCTCGAAATGTGTTATCCTTATGATCGTTCAACTCTGTAATAACTTTTCTGTGTATGATACTTTAAAACAAATGTTGAAAACAACTTATAAGTGTAACACATTCTGTATCCTGTCTATTCCAATGTGTTAGCAGGAACTATACAGTAGTAATTTTGTGCTTATTCTTGGAATATTTATAGGTATTTTTTACAGGCTTTGTATAGACAAACACCTAAAGCTTAAGTGGCAGGCATGTACCACTTTCACGTGTTCAAATCAAATCTATATCTAGAACAGTATGTGTACTGTATTTAAACCCCACCCTTGCACATGAATCTTTACCCTCTAACAGGCACATCAGATGTTTGCAGTGAGCAATACCCAGTGGTATGAGAATTATCTTTCAGTCTATTTCAACAGCTTGAGTAGTATTTCCAGTTTTGTATAAAAGTGTATTCTTTCCTGATTACCTCTTGTTAATAAATCTATTCTTTCTCAGGGGGAGAATTGTCTCTTAGGCTGCCACGTTTTGTTTTACATTTTTCCACTGACCAAGCTGTATTAGCCCATGAGCTCTGTGGCTGTAGCTGTGCTGGGGAAGATCAAAGTGTGTGTGGGGGGGGAACACACAATAGTAGGGGAGGGTGGGTGTCGAGTGTCGAGTGTTCATGTGAGAGCCGAGTCATGTGACCTCTCACAGCTTGTTGGAGTCTGCGGGGAAAGTATGGCGCTCACTGTGGTTTGGTTATTCACCACAGTTTTTACTTGCGTTCACTTATCGGTTTTACTCGAAGGTAAGTAAACACTCGTGGAGTTTCACGGTTTTATTCTATTCAGTTCATCTCTAACTGCAGCATGTACAGTAGGTCGCTGTCTCCTTCCAGGAACATGTCGCTGAGACAAACGGTTCAACAACAGGTGTTAACACCGTAACCAGAGTATGAATCAATGCTATAAGACCATGAGCAGTGGTGGAGGACGTATTTTACTCCTTGACTGAAATAAGAGTAGCAATACTATAATACAAAATTATATAATATACAAAAACACTGCTGTACAAGTAAACTATCCTGTAGTAAAAATGTCACGTGTTCAAGTAAAAGTAGGTATTAGCAAAATTGAAGTCTAAAAAGTAAAAGCACTCATAATACAGAAATTGACCCCTGTTATTATTATACTGTTATGTAGCTATCATATTGTAAAGTTATAATTACTGATGCATTAATGTGTAATTACCATTTTACTGTTGCACTTGGTACTGTCTATAACTATGCATTGTATTTTATAAACTCATCAAATATGGTGTATGTAAAATCTATAAAGTTATTAGTAACTACAGCTGTCAGATGAATGCAGTGGAGTACTTGAGTAAATGTACTTGGTGACATGAGGGATCATAAAGGCTCTGGGACTAAATATGAGAATCAGACATGTCCATTGTCAGGCTGCTTTATTAACTGCAGGCTTCTTTTTGTTCTATCAGAGGAATATCGATTCAAACAGTGGATGTCAGAGGTATGTACACAATGTCAGAGTTAGTGAAAATGTATACCTTGCAGTCCCATTTTTTTATTTTTAATGTTTCAATAACAAGCTTTTTAAACCTAAATGCTTCCCTTTGTATTTGCTGTTTCATTTCTCTTTTTGAAATGCAGCACAATAAAGTGTATGACACTGAGGAGTATTACCGACGGTTCCACGTGTTCACTGAGAATAAGAAGACAATTGATCGACATAATGCTGGGAACCACACTTTCACAAGTACAGTACAGTTCTGCACTGTCTCATATTGTGTAATATATAGATTATTACTGCAGAGGGTGCACTGTCAGCTCATTTTGAAAATTGTAAAACTATTTATTTTTATGAGGTTATGAAAGGCAAGTTCTCACAAACCTTTTCATTTTCAAATCTAGTGGGCCTGAATCAGTTCTCAGACATGACATTTGAGGAATTCAGGAAATTATTTCTTTTGACAGAGCCGCAGGTATGATACATCTTATAATACGACACATTTTATGCAGCTGGTGCTTTTATGTGGGTGTTTTTTATTTTATTTCCAATACATTCTCATGTTTCTGGTCTCTTGTAGAACTGCTCAGCCACTAAAGGGGGTCATGTCAGCAGGACTGGTCCTTACCCCGAGTTTGTAGACTGGAGGATGAAAGCTACTATCCCACTTAACAACACAAAGCTACATTTTGGTGTTATTTATGAACGAATCAATGTTGCAGGCCTTTTTTTTCCGCAATAGGCCTGAGCATTGTAGTGTTCTAATAGGCCTACACATTACACTAATACAGCGCATACAAACAGACTGGCATTAAACTCTGGAGGTCGTTCAGCATGGCTGCAACCACCAGGCCCTACACATTAGGCCTTTGTGCTTCGAGAAACATCAGCCTCTTTTTTTAAAACCCTGCCTGCAGCACAGCCGAGCGCTGCAATGTGCTGACACCATCATCAGCTATTCTAAACCTTTTACCACAGCTATATTCCCACATCCTGATAAAGAAAGGAGGGAGAAAAAAAAGAGAACAGCTAATTTTCATTTATCTTCATCTACAAGAGATGTGTCTTATTTCCAGCGTCTGGTAAGATGATTGGTACAGTTATTTTTTAGGAACATTGTGGATGTCCTGATGTTCTGTCTGTTTGGCCCTGCTGGACATCATTCAACTCAGTCACCCAGCCGCTGAGGATCCCTGGAGTAGCATACAGATTGTGTAGTAGCAGAAGCAGCACCAGTGTAATAACACATTATTGATCCAAACGTGGGGAAATTCATTCATCACCGTACAAGTCGAGCTAGCCAAGAAATAAAAAAAACTGCACAGTTAAAGTTGGAGGCATTAATTCTGCAGATAAAGTATGAGCCTGAATTGTTGAGAACTTGCCAAAGCCTTTTGTTGATCTTGACAATTTTTCGGTACACCATTATAAAATCAAGTTAGGGAATCATCATACATAATACCAAATACTATTCTATCATCATCAAGCAATCTTTCAACACTGCAAACAAGAACAATGCCCGTTTTATTCATCACTGAGCAGGAAACATGAAAATCACAAGGTAGAGCAGATTAGACAGGCTATTAACACAAGGTTAACACAGAAGACAACAAATATAGCAGCAAGCTGAGAGACTGCAGGTTTGCAACGCAAATGAATATTTGGCGAGTTGCCTTCAAGCAAAAACAGACTGGAGATGTTATCATCAAACAGTGTAAGTCAAAGTAGCTCAAAACTGCATTCAGGGACCCCAAGCAATCAAATCAACCATTTAGCCATGACTGGTCATCCACCAGCAATGCTGGACAAATCAGGGAGAAAAGCACAGCAGGAGGCAATAAATGCACACTGTAGAAGCCAAAGGTGGAGGTGGACTCTAGACTATACTAGACCAGCATCACTTGACCAACACTCATAAAGGCAGGAAAGGAAGGCCAAAAAGGACTGCTCAAAGAGCTGCAATGAAAGAGACTCTCCTGAAAAACGACAGCTCTAACACGAGGAGAGGGTGGATGGAGATGGTTGACGCCCTGCTCTCCCTTGGGCACTGAGATGATTAAGACAGTTAGGTGTCATTTCAGGATGCATGTCTGCTCACATTTGACAGCGCAAATGGGTCACTTCCAAAAATGCAAACAGCAGGATGTACATGGCAGCGATACCTTGGCAAACGATGCTGAGTCATTTGAACGTTTACCATTCAACTGACCATCAATCAGATGACCCATACACCACAAGGGGAGGATGTCTTTTTAATTACTGCCAGCCACTGAAGTGCACTGACGCCTAACTGCATCAGAGCACATCTATAGGCCCCGGGCAGCCAACTGGTATGCACAGTGTGCAGCTGCCTAGCTTGCATGCAGTGCACCATCCACATTTACATGATTAGACACTGCATGGCAGGTATGCAAGGGGTCATCAGTTGTTATTACTCATTCAGGCTTTGCATTTAAATCCATAAAACAGCACTGAAGCAGACCGAAAAAATAAGATGCAAACCCAGACAGCCACGCAGGAACCTTCACATCCCCCTGACAGTTCAGTGTGAGAAGTGCTGCCCTCATTAGAGCAGTGGAGGATACCTGTGGCCTATCAATGATCTCTGAAAGCCCGGTGACAGAGTCAGCCAACTGGTGGCGGCCTGTCTCCGCCACAGGAGCGACTATCCCGGGCTACAGGTTATCTGCTGCAGTGCATCTCCCCGTGAGAAAATACCCCCTCTGCAACCGGGTTGTGACCGAAATGTGCTGCACATTGAGGACAGGGGACACTTTTTACCTGCTCAAAATAAAACATTACATCCCCGCTCCCCCCAGAAAAAAAAAAAAAAAACTCGCGCTGTATCTTTAAAAGAAAAGACCCGACAACTTAACAGCAAAAAAACTTTGTGACTGCCGTGAAGAACCAGGTATCCTAGTACGGTGCTGAACAGCCCAAAAAGTACAACCGCAATATAGAGGGAGAATCAGAATGACAAGAATTTCCACCGTCTCCGACCCCGTGGCAGGCATTAAGAATAACTATATAGAAATATCCAATCTTTCCACTGATGGTCTGGTGTGCTTATGTAGGTCAAATAGAGTTATCAATATAAACTCAGAGGGTACTGAGTATTGCAGGATTTATTCACAAAGACTCTAATGTAAATGAATTACTTAATATTATTATTTGTGTGACATGTAGGTAAGCCACAGTTACAGTAATTGCTGTATTATGCAGGAAATGAACACTTCTGTTTCCTGTTTCAATTTTTTTGTGGCAAGAAAAAAATTTATTTTTAAGAGGCAGAAACTCAAGCAGACTGCAGCTCTGGTTGAGCAGCCATCTGCCTCGACTGGTAGGGTCTGAAAAACAACAGCCGATGTTGTCACTTCTTGTTACAGTACATTCTGTCATTTTAAAGGAATACTCCTTTACTGCGCAATTTAGTACTACTATTATACAGTTGGGGAGACAGAACAAAATAAATATCCTACATTTCCCATCGTGCAACAAATATCACTATAATTGCCCATGTTTTTATATCTGCATGCACTTCATTTGTCACATTTTCTTCTTTTATAAATTGTAGCCTTGAACCTAATGGCATCCCCAGGGTCTTTTTCTGTGGTATTACAAAGTCCTGTGAAAGAGACAAAGACTACGTTATACAACTGTTTTTTACAAGTAATTGACCTTTTTGTGTAACATCAGTGAAGTGCCCCTTTAACATACTTGAATTATCCGCTGTTTGAATTTCATTGCGTTTGCGTCCTCAGGGTCACTGTGGCAGCTGCTGGACCTTCTCTACCACTGGCTGTTTGGAGTCAGTGAATGCTATCGCTACCGGGAAGCTAATACCTCTGGTGAGATCTATCTGACTGTTATTAAGTAACACTCAGCTTGTCCATCTAATAGATCTGGGCTGAGAAAGTTGAAGGGATCCACTTTCTCACAAGGATAGGAGAAGTAATGTCTGTTTTACTGTCTGGTTATTTGCATGATTGGAACTAGTGTTATTAACAGCAGTGCAGTGTCATTACTGTGTATTAATGTGTGATTCAGTTTGTTTTCTGTATCAGTCTGAGCAGCAGCTGATAGACTGTGCCAAAGACTTCAACAATCATGGATGCTTGGGGTAAGTAACATGAATTTGTTGCTCTGAGACATTACAAGTTATATTAATAATGATAATACTTGTTGAGTATAATAAGGCTTCAACCAGTCAAACACTATATGGTTTTTTTCAGTGGTCTCCCCAGTCAGGCATTTGAGTACATCAAATACAACAAAGGTCTTATGACAGAGGAGGACTATCCCTACAAAGGCCATGTATGACTTTTATGAAATAACTGTAATCTCACTGTAATTATTTTGATGTAAAAGAAATTCTCAGTGTATGAATTTTGTCTTTCCTGTTTTAGGATGACTCTTGCCATTTTGAGCCTGCACTTGCAGCTGCTTTTGTCCTGGATACTATGAACATAACAAGTGTGAGTGAACCAGTTGTTGTGAAGTTAACATTGGGTGTCCTTAAAGAAATTACTGCTGGGTCACCACTCACATAAAGTTAATGTTCTTGTAGCGTTACCTGAATAAAGGACGAGACCAGAAGCTGATATTTCTGTATAAAATGAATTAGCTTCTTATAGTCATGTGACAATGTGAATATTTACAGTTACAAGCTGATGTACTGGCTTGCTAATATTTGACCTCCTAACCACATTATGCTGTTTAATTTCTGTATGTCTGTCCATCCACAGTATGATGAAAAGGCCATGGTTGATGCTGTGGCCCGGCTTAACCCTGTGTCCTTTGCCTTTGAGGTATCGGCTGATTTTGTGCACTATAAAGAAGGTGTTTACACCAGGTGAGCTGAGGACCTCAGTTTCTCAACAAACATTTAATTGTTCACGAACAACATGGGGTTAGAAATATTCAGATGACCTGTGGAATTTTTGTCTAGTAATCCACCAGCACAGACGTTATTTAGTCTTGGAAGAGGATTATGGAACTAACAAGGCTACTCAGTGAAATCTGCACTGATCAAAATCTTAAGTGTTCACGGCTTAATTGATGGCCCTCTGTCAAAAAAGACAACCAGATTTTTTATTTAATTTACTTTAATTAAAGTGATGGCAAGAATGGGGACAGTTTTAGCATTTGTACATCTTGTTGCTTTTTTAACCACACAAGATTGTGGGATTTAGTGCTGTGGTATCACTTTGCATACCTGTCGGCTGCAACATTGGTGTTAGACCAGAAAAGAAGACCATGCTGTATGTCCATCTCTAATAAAGAGCTATTCATAGGTTGGCCACTGTGACGGTTTGATGGCTCATTTGTTATGTTGCTTATAGTTATGAGTGCTTATGGCTCACTTTACTCAACTCTTTGTCCTCTCTATCATTAACTGAGAAGACTACAAGATTTTAGCCATGTTTAATGTTTTAGAACTGGAGACAGATGAGCCAGTTTCAAAAATGTTAAGATGTTAATTGTTGTTTATTTTGTTCAGACTGTGTTTGTCTGTTTCCTGTCTCTGTTTTGAACTGTCTTAAAAATATCCACAGAAACAGCTACACAGTGCATAGGCAGGATGTAACGTAATATTGAAGGATAGCAGCCCACTCACGCTACAAAAGACATGTACTCTCTTGATCTAAAAGCGTCAGTGTTGTCTGTTTAGCACCCAGTGTAAGAACACGGCAGACAAGGTGAATCACGCAGTCCTGGCTGTGGGTTACGGCGCTGAAGAAAACGACACACCATATTGGATTGTGAAGAACTCTTGGGGCACAGCCTGGGGTATTGATGGGTAAATATAGTCTGTGTGTGTGTGTGTGTGTATTTCACAGAGATGAATTGTTATAGTTTCGAGGTCTCATCGACGCCTTCCTTTTTTTATTCCACCAGATATTTTTTGATTGAGCGGGGAAAAAACATGTGTGGACTGGCTGTATGTTCTTCATACCCTCTACCTTTAGTTTGACTGAAATAATTCATGAAAATATCATCCAGAGACAGCATCAGTGGAGTCAACGTAATGGGAAGTTTGTGCTTTCATGTTCCCTGAAGTGTTTTATGTAGAAGTTTGATTTCAATACAATAACAATATGTACAATATCATCCTGTATTGTGAATAAATACCACCAACACATGCATACTAATTTAACATCAGTAAAAGTTCAACACTGTATTTTATACCAACTTTTCTAGGAAATATGTTTCTTATGATCACAACCACACATGTTCAGAGTTACCCAATAACCACATTCTTGTACATTTAGCTGTGGTTCATGCCCACTGGATCACATGCATACACAATTACATCTAAAGAGAACATTGAGCTTGAACTTTAGTAAGTCTCTTGCTAAACATGTTGAAGTGCACGTGCCGGAGAATGTGGGCTAAACAGGCCAGCTATTACAGTACTATCAATCGGTTTGTGTTGCTTGAGAATTTAAGTTTATTCTGACAACTCAGATTTTCCCTTTAGTCTGTCTCATAATGTCCAATTGGTTGTTCAGTAAACTGGATCATTGAAGCAAATCAGACTCAGTCAGATTACATATCAGGTGCATCTGTATAAGTATTTTTCCCCCATGTTTAAAAGAATAAAAAGATAATGGTAACAAGTGGCAGAATTGTCCTTAATGGGTTTACCATATGTATTTTGTATACAGTGTGTTCCAATTTGTTATAAACATTAAATCTTTGTGTGCCCCAATCTTAACTTTCAAGTTTTCTTTGCATTTGTTTGTCTGTTGAGGCAACTATAGTTTATAAGGATGGAAGATTTCATTTATGATTTTTGTTTCTTCAGTTTCATAATATGGCTGTAGTGGAGGTCTGAAATAAAACATATTGTTATTAATGGCTACCAAAGAATTTGTATTTAATCATGTATGCCTGTACAGAAGCTTGGGACAGCAATGGGAAGGGCAGGCACCTTTCCAACACTGTTCATATAACCAGCTGACACACCTGATGCTACATTGAGCAATCAACAAAACCAATGAGATCATGTTACTGCACAATGATCCCCTTATATGTTTGGACCTTTCTTTATACTGCTGACATCTTTCACTGTGCACGGGTGTGTTTGTCTACTTAGGAGACTCTTTTCTATTTAATCTCAGCATGAATACATGTTGCCAGTGGCTTGTTTTTATGTTTAAATAACCGAGAATGATCAATAATAGCAAAGTTATTTAACTAATTTTGCCCTCATCTGCCAGAAGGTGGCGACATTATCACAGCCTTTGTGGAAGCTAAACCGGAAGCAAGCGAACAGAGCAATGAGAATGAAAGGCGTTCATTGGCTGGTATTATGATGACGTTTACGAACTAACCAATGAGCTGCCAGGATTCTGTTTCACAACACTGGGGGGGAGGGGCTAGTTACAAAACATTTCTAGCATGTGGCGCGAATGAACGTCTCCTAGTGTTTAAGTTATTATGAAAGCGACCAGCCGGAAGGTTTGAGTTTATCACCTTCTTACAGTTCTGTTGAAGAAACACTTCATACGTGTCGTTATAAGTTCATTAATATGTCGACAAGACGAACAAAACGCGAAGCCGTTGTGAAGCTGCAGCAATTGGTGAGTTGTTGAAGTTTTTTTATCCGGTTTTATTATCTAAAGTCTAAACCTATCTCGTCTGTGTTGGCTAGCTGCTGAATAACATAAGCATAATTTGGGACCTAACTTAGCTAAACTGATTTAAATTGAATTAAGATTAATATTAACACTCCTGAAGGCGTAAGTCCAGTGTGTTGAAAGTCTCGTTTAAAAACGTATGCGTCTATGGAAAAGTTGAGTGACTCGTTATTTATTTATTTATTTAGTTAATTGCTGGTTGTTAATAGACCCTTTTCTCAGCAGCCATTTTGACATGAACTAGAAGGGGAAAACACAGGTGTTGCCAATGATAATTAAGGTTCAGTTTCATTTCGTGTAGCAGACCCTTTCCCGTAAATTATTAATTATTATGAACATACTAATTATATCATGTAAAAACAGCTGCTGTGAATTGTTAAAAAGGGTCTATAATGCATACCTTGCAGGAACTGACCCCTGTGGATGTGGAGGGAGCAGTTCGACGATCATCACGAACCGTCCTGGTACCTAAACGCCTCAAGTACTCTCCTGAAAGCAGCATTGTTGAAACGCCAAATAAAAAAAGGGTAAGATGCACTATAGAAATAATTGTATTGCACTGAAGCATTTCTGTGCTTTGTCTTTGTAAATATGCCTATATTTTGTTCATAGAAAACAAAAACGCACAAAAACAGCCAGAATAACAGAAAGGACATCAAAGAGGAGGACTCGGATGTTGAAAATAGTGATGTGGAGCACACGTCTGTAAGTGTGAAACCCAGAACTATTTATAATGGATACTGTGTTTTTATTCACCATGTGTTTATGGATTGTGTAGCAACATGTACCAAAACGTGTGTCAGATAAACACTACTCCTACAGGGTGAATAAAGTAAAGTGCTGTATCTTTGTGTTACACAGAGTGGACAGGGAGGACTTTCGGCATATGAACTGGAGCGCCTGGAGAACATCAGACAGAACCAAGCGTTCTTGTCCTCCATCAACTTATACCAGGTAGGTAGGCTGGTGGGGTAGAGCCACAGCCACATGGACTGATCTTTCTCTCAGAAATCCATAAACACGTGGCTTTAGGGCTTAATGATAGTCACTGACATTGTGAATATCTCACAGACTTAAATTATTCAGAAACAGTTTTCGATAAAGGCTTGAAGCTCTCTCTGAAGTCAGTTACTTAAACTGGATTAATCCGGACAAACATAGCATGAGAAAGTAAATGTCATGTACTGATTTATCATACAAAACAAAACCAGTCAAAATCATCTGTAGTTATTTAGATAAACGTGATAGTTAAACAAGCTACTTGGTTATGCTGTTTAAAGGGGACTTAACAACAGTGCAATGCAGCAAATAGGGCAGGCTTTACCTTTTATTATCCAACTGGAGTTAGTACTCTCTCGCAACTCCTCAGCGGCTCTGTCCAAATGAACTTGGTTCTTTAATTAAATGCATGAAATTCAAATGCAGGTCACTCAGTTCAACACCGCTATCTTGTGATTCATTCCTCTTGCTGTGTCTGAACATATGGGATGGATATTCATTTTTGTTTTCCTTGTCAAAAGGCCACTGAGGAGTTGAAACAGTTGACACGGCCAAAGCCATCGCAGAGGGGACTCATGAGGTACAGTCAGCTGACAAACTGTTACAACTGAGCTTTGTGGGGCTTTTTCATCTCAACGCTGAAAGTTGATTACTTTGGGTTTTTTGACTGTTGGTCTGTAAACATCAAACATGTTTTTTTTGTTTCAGATCTAGAACATGATTTCAAGAGTTAGACAGACCCGTGTATTTTTTTATTTTACTGTAATGATTGGTCTCTGTGGTGGCAGGTCACAGGCTGCTGTAAAAGAAGTGCTGCCTGCTCGCAAATCCCTACGTCTCCAAAAGAAAGAAGCAGAAATCTTGACTCTTCCCCCTGAACCCAGTGGGACGGTGATCTATGAACAGGTAGATACATAGAAATAACTTAACTATAATGCTTCACTTCATGCTTCTCCACTGCTGTATGTCTCTCCAGCATTTATTTTTCTTAATATCTTGATTTTACTCACTTTAATTATTTTACCTGCTTTAAAGTCTTCGCGACTGAAGAAGCCTCCTGGCCCTCTGCCCATGGATCCAATCAACATGGAAGAGGGAAGCAAGCTGCCTTCACAACTTCTTGAGCTCTGCTCTGAGGTAGGAGTCGCTTTCTTTGGTTATTACAAGGATTCATGTCCTCATTACATCATAGTTGGTTCTTTTTTACTTTAATTGATTTCCCCTCAAAACTGTAATTAAATGCAGTGCTGTTTAGTGGGGGACGGTTGTGCCATAGATTAAGTGAAACTTAAATATTTTGGAGAGGTCTGGAGTGTAGCCTTGAATCTTTGCAGGGTGATAATAGTAGTTTACTTTTGCTGCTTCAGAATCAGTTAGCCAATCTTAAAATTGCTTATATTTTCATAGGATTCAAGAGAAGAAAGAAAGATGGAGCTTGATCTGAAAGGGTAAGATTTTAAGTGTTTATCCTGACATTTCAGTCTATTGCTAAACTAATAAAGAAGTGACTTCTCTGCCTCTGAGGAGATTAGTTGCTTCCTGGCCATTGCATTTATATTATATATCTACACTGCTGTTTTTACTCAGGTACCACTCAGCCCTTAAGAACATGAGGATAACTGAAGACCGAGTGGCCAAAGTGGTGAAGGACCGCATCTTCTCGGCTGCCTTCCACCCCTGCACCAGCAGCCTGTTGATGGCTGCAGGAGACAAATGGGGGAAAGTTGGACTCTGGAACTTGGTGTGTTTTCTTTGCTCTGTTCTTATGATGAAGCCACACATAAAGCCCCTTTAAAAGTGTTTCATAACATGAAATTTATGTTAAGAGACCACACTTTTTTTTCCTCCTGTATGATTACATCCCTTCAGGGTGGTGATTGGGACGATGATGGTGTGCTGCTCTTTGAGCCACATACTCGTCCAGTGGGCTGCGTGGCATTCTCCAGGGCTCATCCCACCCACCTGCTGAGCCTCAGCTATGACGGATCTCTACGCTGCATGGATGTAGAGAAGGCTGTCTTTGATGATGTGAGAGAACTTTTGGTGCCTCAAATGTACTTTTTTAAATTCATATTCTAAAGGTTGTTAAAGTTAAGCCTCTTGAATGAAAACACATTTACTCTAAATTCAAAGTTTCTGTTTCACATCAGTCTGTCCGTACATTGATATAGGTGTATGACACTGATGATGGCCTGAAAACGTTTGACTTCATGTCACATGACTGTTCGACATTAGTGGTTGGGAACTGGTACGGAGAAGTTGCCATCGTTGATCGGCGCACCCCAGGGTAACGTATTATTGTTTAAGATAATTATTAGTAGTTTTAGTCTCTCTGCATGGTGTTAGTAGAATAACAGTATGGGTGAACAGTGTGAACTGTCTTGTCAATTATTAACATTTTATAATCATGTTACTTTGGTATTTAATTTCTCTAAAGGAACTCTCATGAGTCCCTCCACTCTTTGGACCCCAAGACTCTGCGTTGCGTTAGTGTCCACCCTTTACAGAAGCAGTACTTTGCTGTGGCCGAAAGCAAGTATGTCTGTCTGATTGCTGATTTTATGTACTTTCACATTAAGATATTTATATTTCTCTATCTTGTGTCATTCTGTCTTTTTGATTGTACTAAATTAATGTTTTGATCTTGTCTGCAGGGTAGTGAGTATTTACGACAGTAGATGCCTGAAGAAGACCAAAACCCAGACGGTCTCCCAGCTACATGGCCACTCGTTAAGCATATCCAGCGCTTATTTCTCCCCTTGTACAGGAAACAGAGTTCTCACTTCCTGTATGGATAACCACATAAGGTGAAGCCAGCACAGCTTTTTGAATAACATGATTATACTTTCTTTTTTTCTCAATCCCAGCTAAATGTCTATCTTGATCTCCTTTTGACAGGATATATGACACATCTGCAATGACTACTAAATCTCCCTTGCTGACATCCGTCAGGTAGATCCACTTGTTTCACTGACTTTGTGCTTTCCTCTTTTTACTGACTTGTGTAACCATACTCTGAACCCATCTTATCAATCTTCCTTTTCAGACATGACATGCACACGGGCCGCTGGCTGACCAAACTATCAGCAGTGTGGGATCCCAAACGGGAAGATTGCTTTGTGGTGGGGAGCATGTCGAGGCCTCGGAGAGTGGAGGTGTTCCATGAAAATGGCCAGCCACAGCACTCCTTCATGGATGGCGAGAACCTTAACACAGTACTGTCCGTCACAGCTTTCCACCCGACAAGGAATGCCTTACTGGGCGGCAATGCATCAGGGCGCCTGCATGTCTTCTCCAACTGAGATAAAGACAAAAATGTGTGAGACCGAGACCCCCCTGGTTGCTTTCTGTTGGATAGTAAGAACAAGTAAGAAAACTGTTTTGTCACAGTACAGGTGGAGAACTTGTACAATATAGATGGATATCTCACTGCTGGCAACTGCTTGTTCTCCCCTTTGGATCTCTTTTATATATTGTCATAATTTTCATACAAGTAACATACCTGTAATGAAACATCAACTTTACACTGATTAAGTCACTAGTCAAGTCCAGAAATGTTACACTTACACGGACAGTATGAACATTCATACAGTGTGAGGTAACACAGTATCAATAACAAAGTATCAGAATTTTCTTCATCAATATTGACAACAAAATACACATTTATTGCTACATTGGGTAGGTAGTGTCAAAACATATCCTGGCCCAGATGTGATGCATCCTACTCTTATTGGAGATGAAATGATATCAGCCTCAGAATGTGTTACAGTGTCTATAAAAACCGTATTTACACCATCAGCTTTTTTCTGTTTTCCTACTACCTAATAATGTATCGCAGGGTTTTCTGTTATGACAAAGTGAAAACAAATCTCTAAACAAATTGATTTACACTCATTGGCCCCTCTATTACGTACACCTTTCTGTTCATGGGTAAGACACGATGCAATGTTTATCCAATCTCCTGACAGGAGTGGAACCCAGTATGGTCTTCTGTTGAAGCACAGGTGTACCTAATAAAGTGGCCACTGAGTATACAACTGTACATTAAGAACAAACGTACATTTGTACTTATTTTCCCCTCTGTAAAACACAACTTACAGTGAACTGTATTCACCTTTTTTCAGCATTAAGTCTATTGTATGTGAATAGGGCTGCATCAGCCTCGCACAAGGACACTGCACTCTTCCTCAAATTTTGCTAAACTCGTCAAACTGTCAAGTTGTGTGGGGACTGAGAGAGAGCAGCAGTGTTCTGCCACAAGTAATGGACTATATAGAGGTCTGGACTCCAGACCTTCTCCTCATGTGCAGTGCCTGCTGTTCACCAAATGCAGCATTTCTTTTATTAAAATGCAGCTGATCAGTTACTTTGTTTTTTACTTTAGATCAGTTTGTGGAGACTTAGAATAATCGTAAATAACCCTGTGCGATCAAAATAAAAAGAGAAAATTCAAGCGTTTGAAAACATTGTAGAGGCACTATAGGTAGCAAATGATTGAATGTGGCCGGCGATACGTTTATGTTGTTGACTCGGCTATTTACTTCTCTGGTATCACATTTGTAATTTGTTCTACTCAAATGCTTAATGAACCCAAGCAATTTAAAAAAAGTGGGTTCCCTCTGCATTGTTTGTTTGTGGCGCAGTTAATTTGAAACAGCCAAACCGCTTGGTCAGTGAAAAGCACCTGTTTGTGTTTTTTCATGTTTTTTTTATTTGTGGCACCTGAAGCAAATGGAATAAATGGAGACTTTTTATACCAAACACTTTCAGTGTGAATGTTACAAAATTCAGCAGTGGCAGTGTGCCACCTTAAGATGGCAGCGTTGTGATACGGTCTATGGTTTTCAACTAGGGACATGCTGGAAAAATTTAAGAAGCTGCCAATCTGGGCTGTTCTTTCTGTGAATTAAAGATTGAACTTGTAGCCAGACTAGCTGCCAGATGTCAAGAATAGATTATATTTATTCATAAATAGATTACACCAGTCTTCAGTCAGTGATTTGAAATAAGCAGTCTTGTTTGGAGGTAATAGATGCAGTACACATGCTTACAGAGACATTTCCATGGTATAGGAAGGAAGCTTACAGTAAGACCCTATCTAATGCCTTATTCCTGTTTAAACAATTCAGTAAAATTAGTACAAGTGTCAGTGGAGCTATCACCTGTCTTTTATCACTGCCAGCCATCTGAAACAGATTTTAGCAATACAAAAAAAGGAGAAGAAATATATTGAGCTGCATTGCAAAAAGAAAGATTCAGGTAGTTAAATATGCTACTTCTGCTGTTAAGATTGGCTAAAAATAAAAATCCTTCCACTTTCATTGTGGTAAAACCTGCTCAAGCAAAAATGCATCAGATCAGATTCAGTTCATTTACATGTACTTTCACAGGAAAGCTTACTCTTTCTTTAAATTGAGTCAAGGATGAGCTGTGTAGAATTAGGCAACAATCCTACAGGATTTACATGAAAATGTTTTCTTTTGACAATAGATATTTTGGAGAAGTATCTTTGACACTGGGTAATCTGTAACAGTGGGCACCTTCACACATGCATCTACAGGCCTTATGAGGGGATTCCAAAGGCTTTTTGCTTTGACTTTTGAGTCTATCAGACGGAGACTTACATTATTGTGCAGTTTATGGTTAATGTTCATTACATTATCTGTATTTATTGCTCAAATTATGTTTAGTTTTTCATACATATGAACATAAAATGAGACATTAAAATACAAATTATTGGAAGTAACTTTTTCTGTCTCAACCTGACTTTCCCCTCATACACAATCACATTTCATCTAACATCAATCAAAAACCAACGAGCACCATCTGAGTTAAAGCAAATACATCGGTTGTCTTTCAAGTCTTAAACCTAGCCACAAAATATAGCATGAGGCTTTCTGAATTTAAAAATATCCATACTGTACAAAAATAAAATGAACATTTAAAGCCTAAGTATTTAATGCCAAAGGGATTCTTACTGTTTGTGTGTTAACTTTCAACTTGTGGATTTTTTAAAGAAAGATTTGAATGTTAATACAGTAACTTTCCAAACTGCTGTATAGGCATCTACATATCCTAAACCCCTTAGCCAATCACCTTCCTAAACCACTTCTCTTGTTGCATAAATAATACATCAGTTTGCTGCTGATCAGTCTATAATTACCACTGACACACAGCTTCCTAATATACTACTTGTAGGGTTGTTAAGAGGACCAATAGTTAACTGTCCCAAATTGACTTTACGGTTTTAAATTCTGCTGTTGGGCTAAAAAGACGTACTGCAGGCTAAACTGTGAAATTACGTATAGCTACGTAATAAGGCTGGAGAAGGTCAGCAGACTATCAGAGTTTCCGTCTGTTGATGCAAACTGACAGAAGTATCAGACAACAGAGGTTTCTTTGGTAGGTGTGACAAAGAAGATTGCAGTAGGACGTAAACAGGACTTAGGTGGTCTTGTAAGCAGGAGGCTGAAAACTATATCACTGTAAAAAATAATGCTTCAAGTCCATTAGAAGTCACTGTGAGGAAATCTCCATGTGTTAAAGACACATCAGTTTGTACAAAAATGGAAACGTGATTTAAATATATTCAGCCTTTACAGATGAATGCATAAATTTAAACACAGCAGGACTAAACAAAGTTATATGACCAACACAGGTCTAAAAACGAGCTCTCTTAACCATATATGCAGGGAAAATAGCACTAATTTGTTCACTTTACAAAGGTAAAACAAGGTCAAATTTCCCTTAAGGGAAAGGATCTTGGGTTTTGTATATTAACAGTATTGCACATCAAGATAAACTCCTCCTACAGAGTGAGGGAGTCAAAGACCTAACCAAACACTTCACTATCACTACAGGGCTAGCTCACATAGTCCCATTGCCTTTACGACTACTGTAAAAGTAACTACGGCGAAGTGACAACTGTTCCTTACACACAGAAGTTGATTGTATCTATTAGCATTATTTGGCTGCTATGTTGCAAAATCAGTAAACCTATCAACTCCATTACTTACTTAAATCCTTAATTTATATCATTGGAAAATAAAATGTTATTGGTGCTCTAGTGGCTTGACAGAAATCGTAATGTGAGCACGCTGTTAATGGACGTCTGACCACACTTACTACAAAGAAAATTACTCAAGCCTTCTACAGGGCAGCACTAGCATCACTCCTGGGTCAAATAGCTACTGCAGCCAATTCTCTGTTGGGTTTAACGCCACATCAGGACAATTAAGGAAAGTCAGTAAAGTTGTCAATCACTTAAAATTGGGCTAAATTAATTTTCCTTGTCTTTCCTGTGACTGATTTAACACTCACATTCGTCACTCTACATTGCAAATTCCTAAAACATTCATTACACTATAATATTTTATATTTTATTTATATATTCATTACACTATAATATTTGCAAATATTATTTGACTCAGGACTGATATAGCCTACATTTATTAAGTGCTGCTGGTTCTTCCATGTTCACACTTTCTCTAACCCCCAGTTTCAAGTCTTCAATCTCAAAGCAGTGACCACAGTAAAATGTTATCATATAGAGTTGTTGTTGGCTTTTAAATATGACAATTAGATGACCCCTCCACTCCCCAGACTCTCAGCTCACACAACATACACCCCAACACATCAGGTTGTCCTGTCTTACAGTAATGTGGCAACATATAAATTAATACAAAAATAAAGGCAACTGTTTTCTGTGGTTGAATAAGTGAAGTCTGCCAGACTTTGTCCCTTTCAGTGTTTAAATTAAACCCCGTTACTGTGATTTTGTGTAAAAATAAAATGCCTTGAAATGACCTGAATATCCAAAGTAAAATGTGATTTTGTTTCCTCGCAGTGATGGTCAAACATAATAAACAAGGTTCTTCAGGGGACAGTCCGTGGCTTGTGACATGAACTCCTTCCTGGGAGAAGCTGAGTTGATATTGGGAACAGGGCTGCAATCCTTTATCCTTTCTTCTCCTTTCCCAACCCCTCTCCCAACCCCTCTCCTGGCCTATCTGTTGTATGTGTCCCGTCTCCATCCGTGGAGACCTATCTTATGTAATTCAGTCACCTTTCACTTTGCCTCACTTGCTGATGAGGAAACCGCCCATCCATCGTAACTTACAGGCGAACCAGCGCCGCAGAGGGCAGAAGTATTCAAAGTGGAACTGCTGGAATTCAGGTGTCTTGCGGATGTCTCTCAGGAAGGCAATGTCCAGGTCTGACTCTGTCAGCATGATGAGGAGCAGCAGCAGGGCGAACAGCAGTCCGATGGTAACCAGGAACAGACGCAACACGCTCAGGATGAACTTGTTCAGCTCCTCTACGTCGCTTGGTGGTGACGGCCTGCTCCTGACCATACGCAGTGCTCTCCTGCCGGAAGTCAAATCCACCCCCTGCCCCTCCTTTGATGCACCCGCCTCTGAATCCTTCTCCTCATCGATGCTGCAGGGAGCCCCGTTGAGGTGACGGGCCAAAGGCATCTCCATCCCATGTTCTGCTACGGGCGTAGGCAGCACGCTGTCTGAGGGGCTGTAGGCCTCGTCTGAGATGACTCCTGATGTGCTCGCCTCGCTGCCGTCCACCATGTGGCCCCGAGAAGACATGAAGGAGTCGCCGTGGGAGACGGAGCGTACAGGTGTGGAGTGGGCGCTGTCTCGTAGGGACTCCAGACCTGAGAACACAGCAGAGGAAGCCAGCTCATAAGAGAGGTATTTAATAACTTGGAGGTATTGTTGCAATGACTCTCTTAGACCATAAGAAAAGGTGAAAGCCTTGTTCTTTCTTTCTCTTTATGTAAACTGAACTACTAAATTTGGTAATGAATGAGAAAAACAATATAAGAAAAACAATAAACACAATCTAAACTTAACAGCAACTTTTTTGTGGGGTGGCCAACTGGGAATAAATCTGTTCAATCATATTCTCCCCACTCTCACACATGTACATTACAGTACAGTACCAGGAAATAGTACATCTATAGCATTGCACTATTTGTGTGCTATTATTCCAGTGACAAATATCTAAAACACTATAAGTTAATGTAAAACACACACACAGAGATAAGAAATATAAATTGAAGTAAACCGCATTAGAAGAATGTAATGTGTGTGTGTGTGTGTGCGTGTGTGCGTGTGTGTGCGTGTGTGCGTGCGTGCGTGCGTGCGTGCGTATTAAGTATGTATTGTTCTCTGCTATCAGGTTTCCAGTCTGACAATGTGAGCCTGTAAAATGTGTACTCTGTGGGCCTGTCATATCATTCAAATAGAATGTACATTATTCTTGAGCACAGTAAAACTTTTACATTTTAATTACATTTAAAAAGACACATTAAGAGTAGAAATGGAAATATTGTAGATAGCACAATTTGATAGATAATTAAAATGTCACAGATGAAAACATTCTTACGATTCCATGTTTCTCTGTATTAATGTTTGAACGAATTTACCACGGCACTTATTCTAATTAGCTTCTTTCTGTGCACATCAAAATTCATCACAGTTTATTGCTTCAGTATTTTCTATTGTTTTCTGTTCTGTAAACTGAAGAAGGGAAGAAAAAGCTTATTATTATGTTTGCAAATGTGTGACTATACCGAACATGCCCCTATTTTTTAAGCACCTAAAACAGAAGGTTTAAGGGGAAATTATGTTCAGCCTCTTTGATTTTGAGCCTTGCCTGCTGGGCTGCTAAAATATTCGAGTACATGGTCCTCTGTGTCAACGTTAATTACGCCGATGTGACCAGAAGGGAAACACGATTTGTTTTTAATGGTCAACTTGTCATGACCTCCGCTCAAGAAACTGATCCTGTCCTCCCGTCCTTTAAACTATGTTCAAAAGAAATTCTTTCTTGAAGCTAGATATCCACTGCATTAGACTTTAACAACATATAATGAGATAATTCCATGTAATATCCATTTGGGTTTTGGCATTAGAGAAACATACTGCATCACCCTGAAATATTTGCCTCATTGTTTAAACACTGTTCTTTAAGAGAAAGTAGCTCTCTTCAAATGCAGCAGCCACTGCACTCCATTAATCCTGCGTGACAAAACCAGCTCCAGTTTTTACCTGCATGGTTGGCTGGTGGGCGGCAGCCATGGAGTTGGGGTGGGACAGCTAGCCTGGAAGGGGTCCTGGAGCTTTCTCCCGACCCAGGACCAGAGCATGAAGTGGAAGAACCCCCAGGGAGGGCGGGGAAGAGCGGTAGGACCCCCAGAGCCTTGCCCAAGAGCCTGGGTCCCAGAGACAGCACACGCACCTTCACATCTCGATAGCAGTGGTTTATCATGCGCAAGTGAACGTTCACCTTGGTCTTGATCCGGATCAGACACTTCACCATGGTTCAAGGAGAGCAAAAAACACCTGTCTAACCCTAACTATGCTCCAACACACTTCTGCTGCTCTCTTTCTCTTTATCTCAGTCTTTCTTGAAACTGCCTCTCTTGTCTTTGTCTTCCCGCTGTCTGTCTTTGTCTCCGTCTGCGGCTGGCTAGCTAAGCAGCCCTCCCTTCTCCACAGTGAGCTCCCCACATGCTGGCAGGCAGGCTGACAGCAGTAGATAAATAGAAAGACAGACAGAGAGTGAAAGACAAGGCCCAGGAATGTGGTCGACTTGTGCCACAGTTCACCTCGTCCCTCCCTGCTGTCAGCTGTGACACACATGGCATGGCCCCTGACAGCAGGAGCTATTTTCAGCCTTAGATATTATTACCAGGGGAAAATACCAACGCAGACAGAGCAACAGGACAAAACACAGGGGGTTTGTTTCAGAATTGCAACAGTGGGGTGCAATGTGAGAGCCTGCTCTCCATGTCAATGACAAGAGGGGTGGGGGAGGGGGGCTAGTTTGACAAAAGACCTTTTTTGTTGGGAACAGACTACACTATAAGTTTATTTAGTTTTAGCCAGGCCGGTGAACTGAGAGAAAACTTACTCACAGTGGCAGCATTAGTAAAAGGTTAATAGCCTGTTGGAGGAAAGAGAGGACAGTAAGTGCCCTTTATAAACTGACAGGGTGACTCTCTCATGTCAAAATAATGCCTGAGGCCACTGGCTGATGGGCTCTGCGCGTGTGTGTGTGTGTGTGTGTGTGTGTGTGTGTGTGTGTGTGTGTGTGTGTGTGTGTGTGTGTGTGTGTGTGTGTGTGTGTGTGTGTGTGTTTCAGAAAGCGAACATCCAAGAGAGAAAGAGCGAGATATCAGTGAAGAGAGAGTGACTGACACTCACAAGTGGGCGATTGTTCACTTGATGGAAAGGCTACTTACTACTAGACGCGATGTGTGTGTGTGTGTGTGTATAAGTGTATTAAAATTGTGTGAGAGCGTTTAAGGTGTGTAATCCACAGCAGATCAAGTCATGAGGACTTAGAAAGTGATTCCAAACCCATACCACTTCTATCTCAGTGGGCACTCCTGCCGTTGCCAAGGGGTACGTGGAAAGATTGTGGAGTTGCTCAATTAATTTGAAAAAATGGAAATTAAGATTTTATTTTCTTAAATCTCCATAATGAGTCAAACTGTTTCCTGTGCTACAGCTTGACTCATTATGTAGATTTTCTGTTCTGCTTTTCAGTGCACTTGCGCTTAAGAGTACAGTCTGACCAGTTAGATAAAAGCATAGATATAGTTCGGTAAAGGTAATGCACTGAAATAGCTAAAAGTTTGGTTAAATGGTATAAATGGCTAAAAGTAAGGAATGGTTGAACTAGTTTTAATTAACACAATTACAGTAATCATCTATGACCTCCCGTCAGCAACCGTTTCTTTGCAGTATTTCTCTTTTCTTTTGAGTGTATATTTTACCCTCCATGATGGAGATGTGCACAGCTCTCCGTCGGGTCCTGGGCACACTGGTCAAACGAGGGCCGTGGGTGATGGATGGACAGCTCCTACTTGGCACCATGCCGGCTCTGGACAACGACACACATGACACATGACATGACACATACATAAACATTAAATGCATACATTATCGTTAATCCACATTTCAGCTCATTTTAGGGCAATATTTTACAAGAATTCTGACCTGTGTATCTCAGGGGGGTCTCTCTTAATTTTGGCACTTTGTTCCATTACCTCTTTTGCAACCTTTCCACTGAGGAAACATAAAAGAAGAAAATATGTTAACTATGTATTTATACAAACTGTGAGCACTAAAACAAGCACTGCAACACCATATTTCCTGCAGTAGGTCAACATTTTTATAAATATACAAATACTTTGTGGGCATTCAATACCTGTATCTAAAGCGACTACCCTTGAAGAACAGATTACTACTGGACACAGTGCGGACTTGACTTGACTTTTCCAATCTGTGAGTAAAATGGGAGAGAAAACATCATAAACATACATGTAAGGAGGTATTTTCTGCAGTTTTGTGTATCTGGTCTTGTGACTCACTTGTAGAAGGCCTGATTCTCGACGCCACACTTCCACAGATGTTTACAGGCCTCAGGTGTAGGTGCAAAGTATGTCAGTATGATCTTCTTATCCTGTAACAAGTCCAACACAATAACTAAATACATACATGATACAAGCCAAACAAGAATAGTTCCTCTGGACCTGTAGACATATGTGTGTAACATACAGTATATACAGTATAATAAACAACTCAAAGACAATGGTTTTACTTTGCTCTTTTGTCTGCAAAATCCCATGGTTAATGGACATTTTTGTCCAATCATTTCCCGTTTACTTCACTATCGAGGATAAATTACATTAGCTCCCCAATGGCAGTGTCTCCATGCATAAAACAGGGCCACACTCATTTAACTTCCTGAGCTCCACAGGCTAGAAAAGGCAATGTTTTAATAATGCATGCACATACCTCCTTCTGATTTGCATATATATGGAATGTCTTTGCTTCAAACTTGAGTTTGGTCACTTCCTCCCTAAGTTTAAGATATAACAGACAGACAGAGAGGACAATGATGAGAAAAGGAAACAGAAGAAGACAAAGTGAGACAGCAGAATAAAGAAAAAGAGGAAAGAACAAATAACAGAGAGAAAGACAGAGAAAGAAAGGAGAGACAGAAATGGATAAAGGTGGTAAAATATTAATTGTGGCTAGAGGCAAATTAATAAGGCCAACAGTATTTAATTTCTCAGTTGAAAAGTCTAGACACATTGATTCCAGTCACAGAAAATTACAAGAGTAAGCTGCAATTGATAAAAAAAAAAAAAAAATAGATTTCTACAACAACAAAACTCTAAACAACTCAGACTCTCTGAAAACGTCTCAACATGCTGATTCACAGCTGGTTGACTCGGCTGTTTTGAAAAAAATACCAACTTGAACGAATCGCTGGTTACTTTTTGCTCCTTTTGGACCTCACATTTCAGTAGTAGCAGATAAATGAGTTGTTGTCCCTACTGCTTGTACATGTAATAAAGGCATCCAACGGCAGCTCATCATTTCAAATGAAAGCTGCTCACCAAGTGAACACAACACTTGGTGGCTTTTACAGTAAATATACAGTATCTTGGCCTTAATAGTTCAAATTATCATAATTCAAAGAGTAGAGAATGTATGTAGTGATCTGAACACTTTAATAGTTAATAGTTTTAAAGCTGTTTCTTTTCATATGGCGAAAAGATGACTGCACATAATACCAAAGTGCTGCTTTATCATTAGGAGCCAAAAAAGTACAAAAGTTTTATATTTTTGTTTGGAGTTTTCGCTCTTGAACCATATGGCTTTTCCCACAATTTAAACTGTATGCAAACACCATATTTTATTATCAAGTTGCATATAATATATGTGGAACTACTTTAATAACTATAGGGTGTATTGTAATTTTACATCCATGTAAGATAAAGAATGTAAATCTAGAAGACAACGAAACAAATGCTTGGAACAACAAATTTAATACTTTGGATTCAGAAGACTTGGATTGTGCTCTTTGGAGTAATTTTAGCATTTTCCTTTTCCTTTGCTGGCTCTTTAACCAACATGTTCTGAAGCACTTCTGTTATTTAGAAGAGTGTAGCAAAGTTGTACTAGATCACATAAAAACTTTAAAATTTGGACTTCGACTCCGTTAAGCAGCTTGTTGGGTTTGCTGGTACTTTGCTTTGTACAAGCTGTTAATTAATGGAGGATGTATATTCATGAACATTTTTCATCTCATTGCTTGTTTAAATATTTATTTCTGCCTGCATATGGAGCTTTTGGGATTCATTTTTCTATACACAAACAGCTACAAAGTCTTGCTCACTAATGTGGGCATGCACATACACACATGCTGTGGCATTTAATTTATATATGGTTATTATTTGGCATCATGTCCAGTTTCTACTCACCATTTGAGGAAATGGATCCTCCGATTTCCTTGCAGCACAGTGAATCCAAAAGGAGTAAAAGCCAGAAAAGCTGGGTTGCCAGACACATCCTGAAAGGCACACAAACCCATTTTTTTGTTATTTTAGAATAGAATTGCACATTAGCACAAATTACATCAGAACTCAAGCTCATAGTTACAGAATACATTTGTTTTGAACCTTGCATGGATGAGGGTCCACTCCGTATGTTTCCAGCATCTGAGCCTTCTGGAGGAAGTTAAGCTCTGACGTTTCAGGACTCTGACCTCTGAGAGAAAAAAACAACAATAAGTCAGTTAACTGGCTTCTGTCACGGCCATCTGTCAATCCAGAGGACATCATTTCATTGAAGGTCTGTGTTCGTTTTTTTAGTAGTTTTTAGAGAAAAATAACTTTGGACCCAGACCCCTGACATCACAACCTTAAAAAACTTTAAAAGTAGCTGTAATTAAACCCCTTCTTAAAAATCCCACTCTTGACCCAGGGGTTTTAGCCAACTGTAGACCTCCCCTTCCTCTCTAAGATTCTGGAGAAAGTAGTCGCCAAACAGTTGTGTGACTTTCTACATAACAATAGTTTATTTGAGGATTTTCAGTCAGGATTTAGAGTTCATCACAGCACAGATACAGCTCTGGTTAAAGTTAATAATGACCTTTTGATTGCTTCCAACAATGGACTTGTCTCTGTACATGTATTATTAGATGTTAGTGCTGCATTTGACACCAGTGACCATAATGTTCTTTTACAGATACTTGATCATTAAATTGGCATTAAAGGAACCGCACTAAGCTGGTTTAAGTCATACTTATCAGATCGTTCGCAGTTTGTACATGTTAACGATGAATCTTCAATAAATACTACAGTTAGTCATGGAGTTCCACAAGGTTCTGTACTTGGACCAATACTATTTACTTTATATATGCTCCCTTTATTATTGGGAATCACTACATTAACTTTCATTGCTATGCAGATGATACGCAGTTATATCTATCAATCAAGCCCGATGAAATGAATCAATTATCTAAATTACAAACATGTCTTAAGGACATAAAATCCTGGATGAGCTGCAATTTCCTGATGTTACACGGGTTAAATGTTAAAAAAAACGAAATTCTTGTACTTGGCCCCAAAAACCTCAGAGAGTAGACTGTCTAAAGATATAGTTACTCTAGATTACTTTGTCCTCTAGCACCACTGTCAGGCATCTTGGAGTTATCTTTGATCAGGACATGTCATTTAATTCCCACATAAAGCAAATCTCCAGGACTGCCTTTTTTCATTTACGTAATATTACAAAAAATAGACACATCCTATCATAGACAGATGCAGAAAAACTAATCCATGCATTTGTTACTTCTAGGCTAGATTACTGCAACTCTTCATTGCCAAGGCTGCCCCAATAAGTCCATTAAGACGCTCAAATTAATTCAAAACGCTGAAGCACGAGTTCTGACAGGAACTAGGAAAAGAGATCACATCTCTCCTGTACTAGCTTCTCTGCACTGGCTCCCTGTAAAATTTAGAATAGAATTTAAAATTCTCCTCCTCGCCTATAAAGCTCTTCATGGTCAGGCCCCTTCATTTCTTAAAGAGCTCATAGTACCCTATTACCCCTCTAGAACACTACGTTCTCTGAATGCTGGGCTACCTGTGGTTCCTATAGTCTCTAAAAGTAGAACAGGAGCCAGAGCCTTCAGTTGCCAAGCTCCTCTCCTGTGGAACCAGCTTCCAGTTGTGGTTCGGGAGGCAGACACCCTTTCCACATTTAAGAGTAGGCTTAAGACATTCCTCTTTGAAGCTTAAAGTTAGGGCTGGCTCAGGTGAGTCCTGAACCATCCCTTAGTTATGCTGCTATAGGCCTAGACTATCGGGGGATTTCCCATGATGAACTGAGCTCCTCTCTTCCTCTCTCTATCTTTCTGCACTCATTCATGTCCCAGTAATGCATGTTACTAACTTTACTTCTTCCCCGGAGTTCTTGTGTTTTCTCGTCTCACAGGTTCTCATGGATCCTGGTGGTGCCTCCTGCCATGGTCCTGCTTGACTGCCATTGCTAATATCACTGATATTATTGTTATTATTATTATTATTATTAATATTATTATAGCTACGGTTACTGTTATTATTATTGACTACTGTTGTCGTCGTCATCATCTTCATGTTCATCATCATCAGTCACTACTATTAGTGTAGTTGTTGCAACTTTTGCTACACAAAAAATGACCTTGCCAAAGAAGCATAGGACCATCCACTTTCTCTTCACCAGTACTCATTTAGGGAACCTAAAATAACTCATGATGCATTATAAGCTAAAAACCTGTTTTGTTAGAATGACTGTCTTCATCCAGCTCTACAGTAGAAATGTTAAGCTGCTAGGGAAAAAAATTAGCAGGTTATCTCATTCTTATAGTCAAATATGGTCATTGCGTGGAAAGAATGAAGCTAAAACTGACCTGGCTGATTCTATTAGTTCCAGGTCAAAGACTAAAGCAGTATCTAATCATCTTATAGCTGTTGTATTAAGAACATGTGTACTGACCAAAAGGAATAAAGTATTAAAAATCAGTCTGCTGTTTTATAAATCCTTACTGAGACAGGCGTATAAGTCGAATGAACTCTACTCTAGATGACTCTGATTTCCTTCCATTATCCCTTTGCCACATCCAGAGTCCTTGAATCCAGGTAAATTACTCAGTCTTAAACATAGGAGCAATTTTATGCAAGTAGCAGGAAATGTTTTCCTATCACCGCACCACTCTACAGTTTTGCCAGCATTGTGATAATTTTTCTCAAATATTGTTTCAGGTGCAACTTTTTCCTGTGCTGACACATAACTCTGGGGAGATTTGTTCAACACTGCTGTCAAACAAGAAGTTGGAAATGAGCAATAGAGGGCAGTGTAGGATCAAATCTCTAACCAGGGCCTGTGGCCACCTGGGTTGCATATACTGTATATGTGTGTGTGTGTGTGTGTGTAAAAGACAAAGATAAAGAGAAGATGAGGGAAAGATAAAATGTTTCTTCTAACAAGGGTTGATTCAAGTTAACTGTTGCTGAATCAGACAAAGATTACACATTATAACCTTAGATCTATAAGCGCAGGTGGAGCTCACTTCTGCACACTAGAATTTACATGTAATAGTGCAGCCAATTAACAGAGCCCTGCCAACCTCTTGCAGTATATTGGCTGTTGTACCCATCAGCCATCAAGTCATCAACTGGAGGTGTAGCAGGAAATCAAGGTTAGAGTGTTCTGTATACGCTCAAAGTGCTAGGGTCACCTTGTGTAACATTTATTCTATTTCACAATAGCTTTGTCTTTGAAAGGGCTCTGTAGGCTAAAGGGGGTAGATTCCTAGACACCACCTGCTGTGACAGATGACCTTGGCCTGACTGTTTGCCACCCCTCTACTTTCAGGCCGAGAAGGCAAATTAACATTAACGCAACATGATTGACCACCACAAATTCATATTGGTCCCCAGGCGTAATACAAACACTGATCCTAGGGTAGCATAAAATAACTAGAGACATGTAATCCAAAGGTGGACAGCGTTTTCCAGCACAACAAATCTAAAGGACCAGGTAGAGCTGCTTTTTTCCTGATTGTATAGTACCACTCACATACCAACACCTCTTTGAACATGGACAAAGGGAGGGGGGAAGTGTCTTACACTGTATAGGAGAATGAGTGGAGGCCGTGACTTCCCCACCTCAGATTTGTCCAGCACACTGGTCATCACCGGCTGCATGTGGGAGCGAGAATAACATCCAGCACCCCCGCCATTACAACTGACTGCCAAAAGATGGAACATGCAGCAGCCTCCCAGCAGCCTCTCTCCCAAAGGTCCAAAGTGCTCACAGAGGGCACAAACTTGGAAAAAGATCCACAAACATTTCACGAAAAGGTGTGAAAAAGTACCAAGCTGTGTGAACTGTGCCCAGACTCTTTGAACTATGAGCACCACCAAGGGGAACAAACCCAAATACACCAGACCATTATTGGTTGCCTGAGCTCTGGCTTCTGGTCACTGTTTGCCCAAGCTCAAACTGTCGAATTGAAGGGAGCGCCCTGCCGGCCAAATACTGTCTGGATGATGCTGCAGACTGGTGCGTTCAATGGTCAGGTGTACCATTCTGAGTCTGTACTGAACCTGTACATAAATATTTCAGTGCTTTGTTTTGTTGAGCTTGGTGAGTCTATAGAGCCTGTTTGAAGAGAAAGCCTGTTAAACAACACAGTATCAAAGAGAAATCATACACACAAATCAAATCAGTGAATACTGCACACATTATGTAGCTGTGAAATTTCAAACCTCATACTCAAACCACTTGTATCAGTGTTGTACCCATAATGTGAGTTAACATGTGCTCTCAAGTGTTACTGTTACAATATCTTAAAGCACAGTTGCCACATAGAGACCTAAAACCACCACAGCAGTCATTCATTTTAGTTTCCCATGGTTGACCTACGAATTTAAGATGCACTATAAGAGTTCAGTGTGTAGGACCAGCAGTTAGATGTGCTCTCGTGATGCCGGCACTGTGGCATGCAATGGAAGTGAACACAGGTACACAGGGACATGTACAGGTGTCACCTTACATCAGCTCAGTCTTGTGGATATCAGCAATCCGCCGCTCCAACTTCTCTGAGTGCTTAGGGAAGAACTGGAACTTTGAGCTATAGCCCTCTGGGTGTTTCCCGGGGTCGTGGTCACCAATTTCAGCTGGGAAATGGGAAAAAAAGACACAGCAAAGGAAATGTTAACTTCCGTGTTTGATGACAACTTTTTAATCTGCTTAGGCAATTTCAAATATAATTGCTTTTCCAAACATTATAGTTGTCACTGACTACAAGTACTAGTACTAGTAGAGAACATTTAAATAATATGTGATGCATACCTAACAAGTGTTGGGTGGGCAGAAGATTCATAGGCTGAGTAAAAAGTAGCTGCAATCATGAAAACTCATATTTTTTAAACATTGTTGAACACTATTTCAATAATTTCTTAAAACCAAATTCATTACATTTTATATTTCTATCAATTACTGTACCAAGGGCATTTTGCCACTTTAGTCATTGTATGTGGTTGTTTTGATTAAAACAGTTAGCACTGTAGTGCATGGTGGTCAAAGATACTGCCTCAGCAAAACGAGAAAAAGAAAGACACCCAGACTATAAGTTGGAGAATACACAAGGCAAAGACCAAGAAGTCAAGGTTTTGAATTCACCTGCACACGAAATAAAGGCACACAGAAAAGCATAAATTATTAAACATCCTGAATGGTGCAGAGCTGGTAAGCAGGGACTCAACACTCAGAACTCAAACTGACCACATAACTTATTTTAGACTTAAATACCAGCTGTCAGTGATTAATTGGAGTGTTGGAACTTTAAAATGTATTGTTTGAGTTACTTTATACTTTAGGCCAGACCTTTTAAGAACATACTTGAGCACATCAATAGCTCTTTGCCAATGTTTAACCTTATCTCCACATCTCCGTCATTCAGGTGGCGTGTTTGTACCATCAAAGATGGCAGAGCAGAGTTTGGCAAGTTTCCTGTTCTCTGGGGAGCACTGTACTGATCAGGCAGCCATTGCAATTGAAAAATACAATTTAGGAAGCCAAACATACAATTTTGACATTATGGATTCACTTTTTTTTTTTTACATGATGTCAAACAGTGCTTATTATAAGCCAGAGACACCTGTTGAAGAAATGCATTACAGAAAGGGAAGGCTCAGGCAGCCACTGATTTATAATAGTATATACTCTATTATACTGTTCTACCAAATTATTTTATGGTGTAAATAAATAGATTTATTTAGTGAATTAGGTATAACCCTGCATAGATTGCTATAATAAGCAAGCCAGTATCCAAGACAATGTCTGCCAATTTACTGACACACTGTCTTGTGGTATTTAGGGCCATACAGAGACACCCAAGAACATTGCATTCAAGGATTGGCTGAGAAATGGTTGGCAGGATAGCTGGTTGGTACGGTGTGTAACTGTTTCTCAATACAACTCACTTCTCCGAATGTTGATGAGCCTGACACCCAAAGATGCCTGTCAAATGGAAATCTTGCAATCTTTCAAAACAATGAACACTAAGTCATATTTTCCCAAAGAGAAACATACCAACTTTTCTATTGAATCCCTTTTTTAAGGAGTAATTGTGTGTAAATAGTTTTTTTACTTTGTTTAGGAATATAAAAATTTGAATTTTCAATTCAAAAGGTCACAAACATGAATATTATACACAATCATATGTGGTTGACACACCTCTGGTGGGGAAATGGTGTCATTTATTTACAGTAAATGACAACTGCCAATGTTGTCATACCTTGTAATATGTAGGCAGCCAACAGAGCAGCATCTGATGTCTTACACAGGAGGCGACCATGGTAGAGATCCCTCTTAACCTGCAGGAAGACGAGATATCTGTGGAGTGGAACACAGAGAAACTGATTTGGGTAATTATTTAGATAGGATCTAAACAGACATTCCCTTTCTTGGCAACACACATGGTGAATGTTTACATTTTAGAAGACAATCAGGAAATCACCAAAGTCATTAGGAATTATAATCTGGACATCATGAATTTACTAAATGTCATGCCACTCCAGTAGATGTTGGGATATTTTGCAGGATAAGTGAAAACTTTGACCTGCTGGTGGCGCCAGAGGAAAAGTCAGGGGATAATCATAGTCAGTAAGATTAATCCTCTGGAAACCATGAATGTCACAGCAATCCATCCAGTGTTCTATTAGATGTGGCCCAAAGTGTTTGACTGTGGTTATTGTACATAAGCTATAGTAGCTGGGTGCATTACACAGTAGGATGTAAAAGAAATGTAGCTAGCAAAAACTCCATTACCCCTTCATAACCCATTTATAATTAAACTATAATTACAATTTAGGAAAAAAAGAAATGAATGCATGATTGGCAATCCAAGGTTTTCTGCCGGGACATTAGACACGGGATATGCAGCCTACCCTCGAGGCAGAACTTGAGCTAAAGCACAATCATTTTGAGAATTGACAATGATTTAAAATTGGACTGCTGGTTCGCACTGAAGTCCACAGAGAGCAACTCAATCAGCTGGTCTCGTCCACAGCATCCAAAGATTACTTATGTGTCAGTTTTCCCGCCCCACATTAATTTCAAATGACTGTGATTCAGCTTCTCTCAAAGCAGCAAAGCAATAAATAGTATAGCAGTACAAAGCATTGCTTCGAAAAATGTCAGGGTTGTAAGACTTTTGACATTAGAGGATGCTCAAGTTACGACCTGATGCCTGTAATGAAAATTATATGTTTTTACATGTTAAGTTAGAATTTGTGCATAATTTTCAATAAAGTGTTAAACTTCATTTATTCCCCAAAGTGTGTTTATGGTTAGCTTAACAGTCTCACCCTGCAGCTGCTAGCAATTCATGAAGCTGCACTGTGGGATTTCAATAAGGCTGTCTAGTCACTAATAATTGCTGCCACCACCTTGTTGTGAAATTATATATAAAGAAATTGAACAGCTAAAAGCAAATAAATGTATGCAAAATGTTACCTTTCATGTTTTTGCTTTTCTGCTATGTATGTGTGTGTCTGTGAAAGCTTCCAGTCAGAACAGATGGCGGACGATGGAGGAGCTCTCCCTTGCCGGCGCTCAGCTCCATCAAGAAGAGCTGGATTGCCAATAAGAGATTTCACTGCGTGGCAACCAGTCAAGGGATGTGATTTACAGGGATCTGTGCGCTTGGAAGCTCTCTGGCTCACTCCTCACAGCAGTTTGTTCAGCTGTCAAGGATGCCGCACAGTAAAGTAATGGCGAGGAGCTTCATGACACTGCAGCTTACAAAAAACCCCACAAAAATCCTCCTGCACACGGGCTCACTGGGGTTTTTCTTTTGTGCCTGCATCAATACACGCCTTTTCATTACTCAATTTAAATTAAGATTTTAAATGTTGTACTTGAGATTACTCATAAGGTCTTCTTTTACACTCAATAATAAAAAAAGACAAGTTGAAAACATATTTTCACCCTCAACTTTACAATGAAAAACTACAATAAAACTATTTGATTTGACGGTTTTTAAGGCAATATAAGGGCTGCTACAGACGTAAGATGTATGTACTGAAAGGACTCTCAGTTCAGATGAAAGCAAATGTTATTCTTGAAACCCTCTACTAAGCTCCAGTTCGCTTCTTAATTTTTCAATTATCTAAAAGCAGGCTGGAGGGGCATAACATAATAACAGTAAAATATAAGGTAATTTTTTTATCTGATTTTATGAGACAAGGAAGTGAATAGAAGGGCAGAAGACAGAGACATCCCCTTTGGTTCAATAAAATCAAGGCTGTGGAGGGTGATTTTCAGGTTTGGTCTGTGTCAGCATTTTTACACTGTGGTTATGACTTCCAAAAAAGAGAGATATGTGATGTAATTGTCCATTGTTGACTATAAGAAGCTTATCAATAGGTCACCTGTGTTTAATTTTGGTTTTAAAATAGACACAATCCACATTATTTTTGATACTACCAGTGAGTCGTCAAATAAACCAACAGGAAGCTGAAATGAATAACCAGAGCTGCAATAACACAGGAAATGCAATATCAGAAGGATTTCAAAGGTTTCTGTGGAAAGGTTTGAAAAAAAATATTTGGATGTTATTATATGTTTGATTCAGAAAACTGTGTGCTTACTCAGCCCCTTGGAAATACTGGTGCCAAATTTGCACCGTTCAAGCTCTGACTTTAATGAGATGCCATACTTGTGACCCATGCATAAGTAGGAAATTTGAGGGGGGATGAGGGGTGATGCCATCCCCATTGTTAGCTAAATTACCAAAATGCATCCCTCTTATGAACCTGCTAACCCCCTTTCTGTCCTCTAGCAGAGAGACTGTTTGGTTGAATATGTTATGTATGTAGCCGGCCTGACACGTCGATCCTTTATCGGACTGAAGTTTGTTCAAGTTACAATCTATGGCTCTGAAATATCAGCAGCCTGACTGTGCTGTGTATGGATATATCTGTGAAGCTGCCCATACGCCTTTTTTTGTTATCACAGTCCCGCCTTTCGGTCAGTTTCATCTTAGATCTATAATATTCTCTAAACTACATGATAGAAATCTTCAATTCTATACTATATTGTAGCCTATATACCCTACAGAGTAGTATTACACCCCCAGACCTAGCTGCCTCTCTAACAAAATATTTTAGGGGAGACATGACTACTGATATAGTTTTGACTATGGGGTTAGGGTTAGGGCCATGACTGAAAAGGCATAAACATGTCACTACTATCACTATTAAAACCTCACTAGTGGGAGAGAAAGAGAGTCCTGAGAGGCAAAGACTGTCAGACTAAAATTTAATTTACCCCAATCCCTCAATCCCACACTCTCCACCTGCAGCCCACCAAGCTATCTTGAAATCTTACCTGGTGATTTCCTCTTTTAGGGCAGCAGGGTCAGGTGGGTAAAACTTGACACGCAAACACATGGTGAATGGAGGCTGGGCTGCGAAAGAAAGACAAACTAATATAAAAAAAATAAAATAAAAAATATATTGTCATGTATTGTTTTAATGTGGTTTCCATGATTTGTGTATTTTTCTTAGCACACAATTTCTCTAGTCAACTTTGGATACTGGATATAACCAACTAATCAGGCCTGAAATACTTACATTTCATTTGTTTGGCAATTGACTTTGTAAACTCCAACCAATGCTGAAAAGGAGATAAAGAGAAGTCAAGACCTTAACTTTTGGAGTCTTTAGCTGCTAAACTGCTGGTCTGGGGTCTGATTGCTCAGCAGCAGAGCCTGATGACTTGTAATCTACTGTAAAGCTGGAGGGCACAGTAGATCTCCTTGCCTTCTGTGTATTTAGGCCCACTCCAATACAGTCACCATGCAGAGAGGAGATGAAAGAAAGCTGTTTGGAAGATAATCAGGAGTGTGCTGTTTTCTGTCAGTGTTAAACATCCTGAGGTGAAACTGGCTCCAATCAGTTAGATGATGACACGCTGACAATAACATGACACTGTTCTCACAATACAGTAACTGTAAAATACAATAATGCTGTTAGCTTTTAATTATTCACTCTCCTTTTTTTAGCAACAGCTGCATTCACATTTTCTTAAAATGATGCTGGCTGATTAAATGCAGCAGGACATGCAACATTTTCAAGTGAAAACAAGTGTGTGATTAACAAATACTCAGTCCAAGCCCTGCAAATTCGCCAAGGACTGTGTTAATTCTGTGATTGATATTCATTTCAATCAAAGTGGTTGGCCTTTTGCCAACTTGCATAATTGACCTGGAGGCCAACCATCTTGACCGGAATATTTGTGCAGAGGAAGAAAAAACAAAACAGTAAGGCTTGGTATTTATACCTAACAGCATTTTTTAAAGTATCCATCACTGCCTGTGAGACTTAATTGATAATGTGCTGGTTACCTAAAGACAGTGTAGAAATGGTAAAGACTGACTGGGACAGAACAACTACAGAGGTTCCTTTTAGATAAAAGTGGTCGCAGATGGCTTCTTATCCTTGCATCAGCTTCACAGGGTTCCCTAAGACCTTTTAAGATTTACATTTGAATGATGGTATCATCTTCAGAATGGAGTCTAGCCTGTACACAATGCTGTATTACCTCAGACAACCTAAAATGTATTGCACGGGATAAGAGAAGTTATCAGGAGATTCAAAGAAGCAAATTGTGTAGGTTGTGTGAATACGTTTTTAATTCAAGGGGACAAATGACTAATTGAAGGTAAACTCAGGCGACTGTAAGTGGAAAAACTGATAGATGACAGAGAAGCAAAGAGACCAAACCATGAGTCATGGTAAAGCGACATCACTGGATTAAACTGAATTAAATCCAACAGAAATTTAGTTGGGTTTATTATTAAGAATTACTACTTACCCTCTGTTTGTCTGGGTCAACATATCTAATGCCAAAGTAGTCTTTCTCCAGCAGGTTGAGATGGTGGCAAATGAGGTCGAACAGGTACTGTCCCTTGGCATCCCGCTGAAAGAGAAATAATGAGAAACATTCATATAATGTACACGCTATTGAGGGACATTAAAGAGAGAAGAAAAGAGAAAAAAATAAAAATAGTAGCTTAATTTTACAGGACTCCATAGTTCCCCTCCTCTCCATCCCAATATTTGCATATTCACAGTTAATGAACCCCAGCAGATCAATGGAGCATATATGTGAACACTCAGATCCAAAATCTACATTCTGCCCAGGTAGAGCAGCAAACATCACATGTTATAAAAAGAAGAAGGCACTTTAAACATAGTGTCAGATTCTAATTATTTTTTCTCCCTCTCATCAGGAAGTCCATTTTTTAGAGCCTCTGAGAAGTCAAAACGGCCACCAGAAAGTGTTTTAATATTTCACTACCCTCAAGGGAGATATATGAGGGCTATCAAATATTCATACCGAGGCAGCAGCCACCTGTGAAAGCTTTGAGAAATTTCTGCTGCAGAAAAAGACCTGGAAAAGCACTGAGACAAGGTTAAGGCAAACCACGGTGAAGGCAGGCAAGGAAGGCAGCCCTTGTCATGAATTATAGTACACAAATATGATCCTTCCAGATGTGAATTAATGAACCTAGCAATACATCTTTACATTTTTAGTCAGGTTGATAAAATACTATGAAAATAATCTAAGATGTTCAGCTAACCAAATTCAAATGTACTGTATAGTCAGGCATGACAGTGAGGAGGAGAGGAAACAGGCCAGCTGTCCTGGCATTTAAACTAATAGTGAGCAGGGCTCTTCCATAAAGCTGCATCTGCCCCAAAAGACTCATTATAAACCTGTTTTAATCAAGTCTTTATTTATATTTAACTGCAACAATAAGGTACATGGCAACAAGGCTGCCACTGAATACATAACAAAACATGAGCCAGTAATTGGGACTTTGGTTACAACTGCATAGCCAGCTAAATTCTGCTCTAAACTAAGTACCTGACATATATTAAAACAGTTATAGCCCCCTCGCGGGTGAGTATGCAAAGGACCCAGGTTGTAGACTACAACTTATATAAGGCAAATCTGTGTCAAACAGGTTGTAAAGCATGCTGTACAGAAGAATATAAGACCACAGGATTTCGTGGCATCTAGTGGTGCAGTTGCAGATTGCCACCATTTGAATACAGCTCAGCCTTCCAAGCGTGTAGTAGAAACTATAAAAATATAAAAAAATAGTATCTATAATATATATAAAATAGTAGTGTTTGATTTGTCTGTTCTGGGCTACTGTAGAAACATGCCGGCCTCTGTGGACGAGGACCCACTCCCTCTGTAGACACAAATTGCTCATTCTAAGGTAACAAAAAACACTTCTTATTTTCAGGTGATAATACCCTAAAGATAACATACCTATGAGTATTATATTCCATTTCTGCCAATATCCTCCTAAACGCTACACACTGGAGCTTTAATAGTAAAACATAAGAAATAGCTTGTTTGATAATGAAATTTCGGTAAATAGCATCAAGATCATATTATTGTAAGCACAGGTAAATATGGTTAAGATGATGCCTTGAAGTTAAATAGTTTAGCTCCTTCTCAGCCTGCTCCAAGACAACTGAAATGATTTTAAAGAAATTTGAGAAACTTTGCTTCTTGCTGAGGGTTTAGATCGCCTTGCACTGTCCAAAGGTAACACAATCCATCTACCAGCACTGCTGAAGCATTTTTTGGACTAATTCTAGGACCGGTGCCAAGCTAGCTAAACTAACTGTCTGTAGCTGTATATTTACCAGTAATATATGAGAGTGGAATAATTATTCACATACACTCAACAAGAAAGCAATTATTTCCCAAAATGTTGAACTTTTACATAGTGAGGTTACATACTGATGGTCTCGAGATAGATTATCATCCAAACATTAGTGGTGTTATCCAGTGCAAGCTGTCAATGTAAATTCATGGTCAGGTTCAGCCTCTTATGTGGACATGGTGGTTATGGTTATATGGACATGCAGACATCATGTTTTTAACACATTCTCACATGTTATACACACCTCTTACTGTATAATCTAGGCATACTTGTGTAGATAAAGTTACTGACATCGTCACCAAAGAGACCTGTGCGTGCCTACATAGTGCCTGCATGTACATCCAGTGTGAGATTTTACCAACTGTACCATGTACACTGTAGCTTATAGGTTATAGCTGTTCTTCCTTCAGTGGCAAAGGACATATAAAATATCCTACATTGCCCTTTAGAAGAGACACTGCATTCACATACAGTATGTTACACAAAACTGCATAGTCAGAGAAAGTCAAAGGCAGATATATGAGAACGGAAGGGTAAAAGAGAAGAGAAAGACAAAACCAAATAAACAGAGGGAGAAAACAGAGGAAGGAGAGAGTGAGAGAACAAGCAAGGCCAGTTGACTCTGATGAATCTGTCCCAACACAGCGTGCCACAGCACAGCAATTAAAATAAGGATAGGAGAATAGTTGCATTGAAGGATGTACGAACCATTTTCAGGTACAATCCCTGTTGAGACACATTATTTAAGACAATGTGCGAATCTCTGTGATGGAGCCTGTTCACACTTCGGTTTCACTCAATATCAGATCAAAAGGCAGAACGAATACCCCTAGGAAGCATGTGGCTTAACAGTGTCAGGGCACACTAAGATTAGAGTTATTTCCCCTCTTTGCATTGGGTAGAACCTCAAACTGCACTTATTGTCTAATAAAGAGCCGTGTTGTGAAGGTTTGCTTATCTAAATTATATAACATTTTTACTCCTTGCACTCTTCTCACAATCAGACTGCTTGTCATCAGCGTGCATAAACAACGACTGCAATTCTCAGTGGCTTGAAGAATAATCCAGAATTATTTTGTACTGTCTATCCTGGACCATATGTAGTCAATTACCTTTGTAGCAACCTGTACCCAATATTATGTACAGTCCCCTTAAAGATGCTTCAAAGATAGAAAAAAACCAGGCTAGCAGCATGGCTCTATGGCAGTGTCGGGGGCAGTTCGTTGGTCTGTTGGTTGGCAAGAACTGCCTTGAAGATGTGTCTGCACAAATTAAAAACATTTCAACTTGAGTGAAAAATCTGTGCAAATCTGGAAGAGACTCTGGTAAATTCATAGGCTGAGATGAACACAAACACACAGGGACACTCCTACAGAAACGTGTTTTTAACCCACACCAAAGCACAACCCAACCTAAACCTATCAGGTCCACTTGTGTCAAGCTATGCACTTGCCAGACCTTTCCCAGGATGCACCGGGCTGACCCTCCATCTCCTCTGTCAGTGTGTCTGTATGTCACTGTCACCACATACACCCTGACTCACCAAGACAGGCCTGCTGAGTAGCCCGGCAGCAAAAATAGAAACACACACATCCATGTGCAGTCTCACACATGCACACAAGGAGCCTCAATCCTTCTTGCTCTATTATAAATGTCTTTGGTACACCTGTGAAACCTCTAGATCCACAACATTTTCAGAGCCTCTACCTCCCACTCCCTCCATCTGCTGTGCACTGTAGTGTAAACTACAGCAATGCCCAAAAAAGCCTTCCCAATTAATCATGTTGTTACTGCCATGTTTCTATATGCCATGCCTAAGTGTGTGTGTGTGTGTGTGTGTGTGTGTGTGTGTGTGTGTGTGTGTGTGTGTGTGTGTGTGTGTGTGTGTGTGTGTGTGTGTGTGAGAAGTTACTGATGATCCTTGTCCAAGTTAGTAGTTATGGAACAACAACAGAGAGGCAGGGCGATTTATCTCAGTCCAATACTTTAGCAAATAAATGAGAAGGAATGAAATGTATTAGTAGAAACCATTCATGAAGAATTCTTAACTCCTTGGTAAAACAAGCTAGAGTGCTTTTTATAGCACCAGCACAATACAAGCACACACATTTTAAACAATGGATTTATCAGATGTTACAACAGATTTTAAATGGTGCGACTTAATAAAGAGCTCCTGATCTCGAGTATTCTATTGTGCATTACAATGAGTGCTGGTAATCCTATTGTTCCTGGTAATTTACCTGACTCTGCACTCTGATGCAGTTTGTAACGATGAGATCGAAGCACACTCTAACTTTGTTCCACGCTCAATGTCTGGCTCGACTAAACAGCCATATAATAAAGCAGCAGATTCTCTCTTGCCCATAGGCAGCTGACCAAACATTTGTAATGTATATGTGGTGTTGTGTTGCATACTGATGAGACACACTGAACTTCAGTGAGCTGACCGGGGCTCCACTGGGACAAAAACGCAGGCTCTGAGGCAGAAACATTATCGATCTGAAGTTAAGTGTTCTTCAACATCCTTATGAGATTTAAACCCAGAGCCAAGATGCAATACACTGGTGGCTACAGACGGAGAGGAAATACTATATGTTGCCAGTTAAAGCACTGTTTTATTGTTTTTGAGTAGATAAACTGCAGATCTTTTATGTGGTTTGTGGTCATGTGATTTCAGTGTGGGAATTTTATTCTCTCAACATAATTTCTTTCAACATAAGGACTTTACACTTACTTTAGAATGCATTGTTAATACATTCTTCAGGATGCACCCCATTGTGTAAAGTACTGAAGGTTTGCAAATCCATACACTGTAAGCTCTTGTGAATGTAAATATCCAGTCTATCATACAGCAGTGTGGGGGTCACTTGCATTAACCTCGACATTTCATGTGAGCAAGGGTTACATTTTTGTTGTAAGCTTTTATAAGATGCAGGAAAAAAGGAGTAAAGTTTTCATGTGACAGCTGACTGCTGCAATGAGGTAGTAATTGGGCTTTTGAAAAAGATTTATTGAGCTGAGTTTTAATCAGTGATGCAACATCACATTTCAGAGTAAACAAAGCATGGCTTAAACATTGCCTACTGCCATCTCATCAAATTGCGTTGCAGAGAATTGGAACTATTAATGAGCTAAATGTCAGACTGTTTTCCTATGGGTTCATTTGGAATTAGTCTGTACTGACATACAGTCGCCAACAGACTTCACTAAAAATAAAAGTAGCTGAATAGAC